CTCAGAAGTACTAAAAAATGGTGTGCAGATTGCTGAGGCTGCTAGTATTAGTGGTGGTGGGGACTGGCCCTGGTTGGCTTGCAGACAAAAATAAGATCCAAATGACGCAGACTGGGGTTGAGTGGTGAGGCAAGTAAAGGGTTGGGACTGTGGGAAAAACTGACATGTACCACAAGTTTAAAGGAATCAATTGGAGATGTCTTTATATTGGCAGAGGTTGTGCTTTGCCAGTGCATTAATTAGTTCTGTTAAGTATTTTCTTTACATTGCTTAGCTCTTTTATTCAGAGCAGATGAGCCTGCAGAGAATACACTTGCCTTTTCAATTGACTGCATGTTGGCTTTTTCAACTATTTTTTACTGAGTGATGCTATTCAGTATATTTACTCCTACGAGTATGTTGGGTTTGTGTTTTTAGGGCTTGAACATGCTTCAAATGCTTTGGTAGAGTTTAAGAACTAACATGCATGCTTTTCTTCATCGTGCAAAGCAAAATGCTTATTGATGGACAGATATATAATTTTTACCAACTCTTTTTTTAGATTTCTACTTTTATTTTGAAAACCATGCAGAACTCCTTCCACTTTAGCATTATTTATTAATTTGTGTTGGTCTATCACATATAACTGTGATTTTGTTTGTACTGCGAGAAAACCTGAAAAATATTAAAGAGATTCTAAACCTTCAGCAAGAAAAGGTATGTTTGCCAGATAAGCCTAAATAAGTCCCTAAAATGTTGTTGCACATGGTGGAATGTTTAACCAGAGTAAATGTTGGAGAAGTACCCTCATAATTTAAAGGTGATGTATAAAGGACATGGACAATGCTTCAAAATCCTCCCCTTTATTATTTCAGTTTGTTCTCAAATGTTGCATATAAAAGTCTCTCTGTGGTATTACTCTTTAACTTTTATACTGTGGATCTGGGTTCAAATCCCAGTTGAACCAGGGAATCTGGAGTAAAAACTCTGCCAAAGCCTGTAAATTGAATATAATTTGCTGTTGTAACCTCTGAATAAGGGAGCAGCCGAAAAGGACATGTGGTCTATAGGGTGGAACTGCAACGTTTTGATCCACGTTGGTCATTATTGTAGTAGCATCTTGTTTTGGTGCAAGCTCTTTGACTGCAAATGAAGCACTTCTCCATTTTGGTGAATATTTCACCATGCCCCATTTGCCCATATTTGTAGTTTGATATAAGAGATACCATTATGTACTGATATAGAAACTGGAAAAAAAAAAAAAAAAAATCAAGCATCATTTTTTTAATTAAGCCTCACTTATGAGAGTCAAAGTCTATCAAAGACTGAGAAGAAAGTCAAAGAAAAATGTATAACTTAAATCATGACAATAGTGTATTTTACCCTTGCAGGCTAAAGGAAAAATGTAAGTTCTTTAGCAGTAGCAGAGACAGCTTAAAGATTTTACACCTAGAGCCAAGATCATCACCAAATGCATGTGGATAATGTGTTCCCAAGGACAACAAAGGCAACCAAACAGATTGCAAAACTGGTTGTGTAATGTTGCTTTTCCAAACAGACAGTAAATTTATGTCATTAAGATGCTAAAAGTGAGCACACAGCATTTACATAAGCAGAGGCATGCTGCTGTTCTATCATATTTATATAAACACACACTAGGCCAAACTACTTAAGCTGCTACCCCGTAGCGACCCAACTCCGGACTATGGGAGGAAGATGTTTTTACATATGATTGTTTCTTATGTACAGTATCCTTCAACTTTTACTACAGACTTAATGTCTGAAATGATATACTGTCAATCCGCTTCTCTGTTAGTTGAAAATGCAATACCTTCTTTTGCGTTTCCACTGCAAATACTGTTGAAGTAATGGATAACAAAAAATTACAGGGGATGGAGAAAACTGCAAAGCCTGACAAAGTTTGACAAACAGAAACTTGATGTGTCAACATAAGACCTGGAGAAACTAAAATTAACTTATCTGCACTTTTATAGACTTCAGATACACAACAAAATGTATTTAAGAGGTATAAAAATTGTTTTGTTTTTTTATCTGTTCTATATGCTGTTATTTAATTGAGCACCATTTTCTATAATTTTATGGAAAAAAACACCATTTTCAGAAGGCATTGATAGGAAGTTTCAAACATAGTTTAAAAAAAAGAACAATTGCCTCTCTTGACTATTTATTTTCAGTGTGTCGTTAGAGAGCCCTGTGATTACCACCCTGTAAAAATTAAAGCCCTCATAATAACCAAAACACCTGCAGCGACACATCAAAGCACACCCCTATTAAGAGTTTATGTCTATTGTTGTTTGGGTGAGCATGGATGAGTTGAAGAAGGGTGGGCAGACTTGGTCACAATAAAAAAAAAAAAAAAATAGAAAAGGTCCTGCAACACACTATGTTCCAGGTGATACTATAGTATAGCCATTTTAACTTTTCAGTCAACTTTAAGATTCGAGGAGTTTCTCTTTGCTGCTTTTTTAATCTACCACAGATTAAATAAAAGTTTATGTTACCTCCTTTTTATTATTTTCTCATTAGCAAGATAAGGTATCAGTTTTTAGACTGTATCCCTCTTATTAGGGAGTGCTATATTATCATCCATCACAAACATATGACATGCTTTTAAAGATAATATCCAGAAGCGGAAGCTTCAGATTATAGTTTATTTTCTTTTTACCTTGGGAATAAATCAGAAACCTTTCTGCTTCTCCTTCTTATCCTCAGCAATACCTCATCCCCAGATATGGGTAGTAGTTATATAGTTTTATGCAATCAGTTACACATACTTAAGTAACTGTTGAAAAATACTTTTAGGAGTATTGTACTGTACTTTTAAAAAAAATATATATTTCTGTGAAGTATCATAATTCTACCCAGCTACTCTGTCCATTGTGAGTCCCTGGAGCTAGTCACAGATCAGGTTAATATACAGTACATGGTAGATATTGGTATTGGAAGTTCTTTAATGTCCTAACATGTATTATTTCGCACATAACTTCTGTCTGATTGGATCATTTCTAAACATTAACTAAAATGTTATGATTATCAGTTACCCATTACTTGAGTAGTCCTTTGACCAAATATGTTTTACTTTTACTTGAGTAATTACTTGGAAAACTACTATTTATTTGAGTAAAATTTGAGAACAATCTACCTACTTCTGCCCATCCTAATATTTTTTTCCTTCTTGGAAAAGTACATATTAGTTTCTGAAGCCACAATAACAAAGTTGTCCTTTACTCTGATCACTAAACTTACTGATCAATTTGATTGAAAACAGCTAAGAACACTGCCTGGTTTTTACACACTACTTGGGGAAATGAAAGCTAGAAAGGGAGGCAGAGGGATGCAGAGAGGCAAAAAAAAAAAAAAAAAAGAGCCCTTTCTTCTTGTCAGTGCTTTCTACTTTTATCTTATATCTGTAAGACTATTACAGCAGTGAGAGAACAAGATGCCATCTTCAAATCATGCAAAGAGGATGTTATCTTTTTGCCTGATTGTAGACTAACAGCAGGCGGTCACGTAGAGTAAAACTGCTAATGTGGTGTGTTTAGTGCATTATGTCCCTTTTTGTGAAAGTTTATTGTCAGTTGTATTTTCATATTCACTTTAAATAACTGTTCCTTTAACTAAATGTTCTTCAATAGCTGGGTTGGGGCCCGAGCCCTCTGGGGTTTAATTCAAATAGGAAATGCCATAACTGACCAGGATAAAGCTTACTGTGTTTTGAGTTTTTTTTAAATAACTCGCATGCTTGTTTTGTAGCACATCCATTTTATCTTAAAAACGTATATATATATATATATATATATATATATATATATATATATATATATATATATATATATATATATATATATATATATATATATATATACAGTATTAAACTTCTGATGTGCCGTTACTTCACAGGATGAGGGAGAGAATAGGAATTTGTATCCATAGTATAGATCTCACTAATGTTAAACATTCAAAGTTGCATTGGATTCTTTTTAGATTGCCCTTTGTTTCAGGGTTGTTGTGGTCATTTGTTTAGTCTTTATATGAGCTGAATGCTACTCTGCATACTTTGTATTTTCCCAATGAGAACAAGGCTTTATTTTTATGGAATGCTTTCTCTTATCTTTGCAGCGAGGGCTTGCAATGTATTTGTATCCATTGAAATAGTCAGCATTTTTTACATTACTGATATTAATTTGCACCATAGTGGAAACTTAGCCTGACGTAGTCCGACTCAATTCTAGGCAGAATATGAGTCTGATACTGCTCCATAGAGCTGTGATTATGGGGCGTGTTTCGAACGAACCAGGAAAAAAAAATGCCTCTGCACTCAATTGGATAAACCTACAACCAATAAGAGCAACGGAGTGCGTGACGTATGTTAAGCGAGGCATAGTTGTTGTCCACAAAAATCAAAGCGTGCAGTTGCACGCCTATAATAAGAAGATGAGACTTGATCGCGTTTCTCTGTTCCTCTTTTAAAATTAAGTTGCTGTCGATATCTTCTAGAACAGACCTAATAGCAGAATCCACTCACCTAAACTCTCCAGCGGCAGCCATTATTGTTGTCACCCAAGCGCGCATTGGTCACGTGGTTGATTACGTTACTGTTTGTCATCTGTCCATCATCGTATAAAGCCCGCCCTGACAATTTGATTGGATCGCCTGACAGTGGGCTTTAATACTCGCGCTACTATGAAGCAGAGCCAGACCGAACTTCCCCGACCTCAAACTTTGTGGGCGGGACTAAGTTCGGAATGGCACCCAGGCTAGTGGAAACTATTAACAGACTGTGATTCCAGGAGACATTAATTCACAGTAGACTTAAAAGTAAAATAAGCTAAATACAATCATCAGGATGGTATTTTTATGGTCTATCACATGTAAATTGCATTAAAAGGTCAAACTTTCACAAGATTTATCTTAAATAATGTTACATTAGATAAATAAAAATGTTTATTATATGCTAATCCTTTTTGAAGCTCATTGTTTTTGTTTTTTTGTGCCTGTAGGTGTTTTGTCACTCCCACCCCAGTTCAGCCCCTACACAGAGAACCAGCAGACCACTGTGGACACCAGGGAGGATGCTTATGCCCAACTGGAGCTCAGGACGCTGGAGCAGTCCCTGCTGGCCACCTGTGTGGGCAGCATCTCAGAGCTCAGTAAGTTCTCACAAGAAACTTTTTTTTTTGTTGTTTACAATTTGTTTTAAAGCAAAATGTATTCCTTAAACTTGTTCAGACAACTATATAAAAAAATAATAATACAACTATGTTATACATATGCAGAGACGCATCAAATGAAATTGCAACTGTATTGCATTTTATTACTTGACATAGAGAGCTAGGCATGTACGGTAAATTTATTTTTGTTTTCATATAACTTATTGATACTTGTGTTCAGGGTTTTCTATTCCAGCCTCTCATTTTGGTGTCCTTGTTCCAACAGACATGAATCAAATGTCTCAATCACCTCCTCAGTATGCAGTCAGAGGCTTACTGTAAACTGAGCACAGCCAGCTCCTAATCCTTCACCTTTTGTGGGCTCAACAGTAAAAACACTATCAGAGTCCTGATAGCCACCTGATTATTTAACAAAGTGTCCTGAAGCAGAGACATAAGAGTTGCAGAATACCAGGCCTTGAAGAGTAGAATAGAAGAACCCTGCTTTAGTTCATAACATGTTTCTGTGCAATTATTTATTTTCCCTTAGGGATTGATAAAGTATTATTGAAATGAATAGAATTCCAGTTAACTGTGAGCAAATGCATTTTGGAGAAACCTTTATTTCTCACTTTCATTGAGTCATTGCTTCATTTTTAAATGTAATTATATGTAAAAATTCTGGCTTTAGTTGCCTCCTGCTCAAATTTATTTGTAAGAACAATTCTTCTCAGAGGGTTCAACAAATAAATGTTGACATAAAGATTTGCATAATCTGTATGTCAAAAATTGACTACATATAAACTTGTCAACTAAAATGTGGTCTCGTAGCTTCTAGCGATGTGTGGCCTATTGAGTCTGAAACTTTTGGCCCAAAACTAGTATCTGGAGTTGAGTTTAGCCTAGGATTCAAATACTGACTATTTTAAAATGCCTTGATGGAAACAGATCATTAAGTAAACATCATCTGAACTAAACTGATCCTTTGTGTTTGCTACATCGAACTGGGAATTAGCTCTGATAAAAGGCAGGAATTAGTTATCAGATATGTTTAGGGCTACAGTTTGGAAACAGGAGATATAATGTTTTTCAGTGGGCTTAGATGCTTGAATGGGAGAGAATCCAGGAGAAAATGATTGAAAGGTAAAAAGGTGAAAACTGATGTTAGGGGAGGGAGTGGAGCAGAGAGATGGAGGTTGGTTTTGGTCAGAGCAGGGAGAAGTTTCCTACTCCAAATGAACTAACACTCTGTCATTTGTTCCTGCAGCACAAGGCCACGTTCATGCGCTGCCGTCGTTATAGCGAGGTATTAAGAAAGTACAGACATGCTCTTTCTCTCACTTCTGCTCAGTGGCCTCTTTGTGTCACTTCTCTCTGGTGGGGTGAAACGGGGCAAATTTGGGCAGGGCTGGCATCTACACACATACACAACAACAGATTAACACCAAGTTTGAACCCTGACTGGAGCCACTGAGACCAGACAGACAGAGACATATCTGTAGAGGAGCGGCTCAAGATACCTGGCTGTGGTCGTAGAAATAAACACTCAACATGCATAAAAAATGAGGTATTATTCAGCAGAATGGCTCAAATTAAGGAAAAAAATGGAGCAGTATGACACGAAATGTTTTAGAACTTCCCTATCCAGTTCATCTCCTGTAGAGTATATATATAATAATATACATTGGTTAACACTAGAACTAAGCTATATTCTATTATTCAAGAATAAGCAATTTATATATACAGTATTTCCCTCTGAATGTTGGAGCAAAGTTTAGCCCTGGGCACAAATGTAGACTTGAATATTGAACTAAGGGAGAAGTCCAGGAATTCCACAGAGCCCTCCTGGAGGGACATTTGGTGCTGGTTAACACAAAGGAGGCCCTTCAGCATTAAGTGGGGTCTGTTTCCATCAGCCTAACCCGACCTTTCCCCCATTGCTGTATTCAGAAGAACCCTAAAACATGGACAAACACAGAGCTGAACTTTTCATCCTTGGACACTGAACTATTTTGACAGTTATCTGCTTAAATATGAATTATGCTAAATGATTGTTATACAATCAAATGTTTCTTCCAACAGTATCAACAGTATCTATTCTTTTTTTCCCCACCCTTTCAGCCAACTGTGATCTGAACAAGCCTTTTTCTAGAGTTTATACTGTAAAGCCTTTCTCTTGTTTTTTTTTTATTTTATTTTCTTCCTAACATACAGTAAACTAGTTGAGATAAGATCATAGTTTTTATATGACTAGGCTTTTATATGACTGGTACTAAGACCTTTATGTTTTTTACCAGGAATCTAATTGTTATTGCACTAAGGAGTTGAACAGTTCATTAGAGCCCGTGATCCACTGTCTTTACTGCCATTAACTCCCTCAGTGATTAAAGATGAATGACTTTTTTAGACTGGCCGTCTGGCTTTGCTTACTGATAATGACGCTGCTAATGGCAGAGTTCGCTAGAGACATGCAGGAAAATTGTTGAGGAAAGGAGGAAATCCGGTTTGACTGGAAGACCGCAGAGTTATAAACACATAACTCCAATTAGACTTTTTTATTATTTTTATTTTTTTTCAAATGTACAACTCAACATTTGCACGTGTCCATTTCAAAGGAATTGAGACACTGGATCAGTGTTTACAATTTTTACCAAATGTTTAATTTTGTTTTATTGACTTGGTTCCAGGTGACTTGGTATCTCGTGCCATGCACCACATGCAGCGTCTCAGCTCAATGCGCCCAGGACAGAGCCCTGCCCGTCACGCCCGTGCTCAGCAGCCCGTGTCCTGGTCGCCTGACGCCCTCCACACCCTTTACTACTTCCTGCGCTGTCCACAAATGGAGTCCATGGAGAATCCCAACTTAGATCCCCCACGCATGGCTCTTAGCAAAGAGAGGTAAGAGTAATGGCCGACTGAACACTGTTTGTAACAGGCAAAAAATAAAGGAAAAAAATCCTTAGCAAGGAAAGTGAAGTTGGTGAAAACTTATTGGAAGATGAATACATTAACATGCCTTTTATAAAAAAAAAGTAACAAAAAAATTTGCTTACAAAATGAGTTGCTTTTAGTGTTTCTCTAATTGAATCTGTTTAAAATTGGGCTATTCTGCAAAGAAGAATATGGAAAAGTGCATTGAATATTATAGCTGTAATGTGGCTCAAAGTAAAAAAAAAAAAAAGTTGAGTGTTGATATTTTTACTTTCATACATTTACTTAGTGGGATTGGAGATTAGAAGAGATCAGCTTAACCCCACAGCATTATCCATTGTAAATAGAAAACCCCATAACCTTTTAAATTACCACTTCGGTTCTAAAAATTTAACAACTTTTCCAGCTTCTCTCGTGTTTTTTTTTTTAGTGGAGTTGCTTTTTTAAATCCCTACCTAATCATGTTGCCCTCTGGTCATGTAAGTGTTCATTTATGTCAGGTTAATTACAAGCAAACAAATGCTCCCAGGTGTTAAGTACGGGAAACTGAAGAAATTAAAAGCACCTTAAGGTGTAAATTAGGCAGAAGAGTGGTAATTTGAGGGCTTTAAAGAAGTATAAGTGCTCTGTAATTCTATCTCCTCAAATCCTCCTTAAGTTAGGCTTGTAAGTATTTATCCCTAAAAAGTATTTCGAAAATATTTGCAGTCTGGATGTTGCATATTTTGTTATTCAATTTTAAGCCTCATCTATTTGCTAAAGTGACTGTAATTTAGACTGCGGCTGGAAATGTGTCCAAAAGGCAATATTTTCTAATGTTAAATTTTAAAAAGCCCAGAAAGAGTAGATTCTTTTGAAAAATGTATAAAAATACTGATTGAAATTAACACAAAAATATCCCACTGAGAAAAGAAATTGAACAATGTTAGAAGATCTGAATTAAATGGTCAGTTAAGAGGCATCATTACTGTCTGGATTTGTTCTCAAGTCAGAAAAACCTTCTCTCACAGTTTAAATCCATGCTTTAGGTTTAAATATGAAATTATTTTATTAGTGCAAATGAGTTCATATAGTTTCTATTTGTAGGTTTTCTTGGAAACGCTTTTTTTCAGTATTAGAAATTGATGTATTTGCTGTCATAAGATCATGATGACTGTAAGATGATGATGCTTCATATTCCCTTACAAGTGTCTTACTTTATGAGTAATGGGTTGAAGATGAGGCCAGCTGCCTCTAATATATTTTATAGTGAACAGATACTGTAAGTGGCGAAGGTGGGCTTCTCATTAGCATCAAAGAAAACAGGCCAGTAAACCCCCCCCCCTTTTCTTTTCCTACCCTGGCTGATTCTTCGAAAACCCTTTAGATGTTTTTTTTTTATGCTGGATGTATATCACACTGGTTTATGGGTGCAAAATGAAATATTGGCCTTCAAACATCTGAACCTCTGCAGACATTCTCTTTCTTTCCTCATGGTTTTCATTTGTTACTGTATACATTGTCGAATCGTTGCAGAGCCAACTCAGGTGGAAGGCTATTGGAGTGCAAACCTGGTAGTGATTACAATGGCAAAGCCGGTTAATGTTGGAGAGTTCTTTCCTACAGGGGGCCCCTTTATCTCCTTGACCCACCCTTTATTGGAAGCATTATAAAACCTTTGGCTGAAAGTCAAAACTGCCAGAATCTGTGTGGGCCACATCATCAAATGTTATAGGGAGCCTGGTGAGAGCTTTTTTTTATTAGATTTTGATCCTTTATAAAGCTGGTGCATGGTGGTAAGTGATCACTATTAAACAGCATAAAAGGTAGATGGGAAAACTCTCCCTACTATCAGAGAGTAGATTAGACTGACTAAGATCAGATTGAATCTGTTAATAATTAAGTCACTGGCCTTAGGTTTTAATCCATACTGGATATGTTGAGCAAGTGTTTTTGGTTTTTATACTGGACAGGTTAGAGTTCAAACACACCTCAGCATGATTTCAGCTCATTATTTCCAGATAATGGGTAAAATAATGCAGTAATCCAAAGCTTATGGTTATATGTGTCGGAGGTTTGTACATGCTGGTTTGTGTAAATCCATCATCTGTGTCTCACAGGGCATGGCCCTCAGCATGTCGGGTCAGAAGGAGAGCCGTGGGCGCTATCTAGTTTCAGTGTTAACTGCCATTGAGACTTTGATGCTGCACCTGATCTGTAGCGAAACTGCAGTTTTGGTTTCAGGCTTAAGGGCATGACCCAGACTTGGCAGTCATACGAAGAGTTTAATGAGAGGGGTAAGAAAAACTAAGGATGTACTTATTAGCGAAGACAAGCTGCGTCTGTTGGACGTGTAGTTGCATATGCATCCAATAAGATATTTTACTGGTCAATGGACTATCAGACCTGTGAGTAAAGACTTTTCCCCACGCATCCCAGTTATTTTTCCATCCAATGGGATCTGTAGTACAGTAGGCTCTTACTGCCTTCAGAGGTAGTGAGAGAAAAGCATGATCAATAATGGAGGTTCCATCTCATCTGCCGGTTACTCTTTTTACCAATGGAGCATGAAATATATTGTAGGGCTGCAACTAACGATTACTTTTGAAATTGATGATCTGTCTGTCTATTTTTTAGGTTAATTGCTAAATAATCTGATAGCCAAAGGTTCCCTAAAGAAGTTTTTCACAAAATTAAACCAGGTGAAATTAAAAATTTTCCACTTGAGTTCTGGATAGAGCATATTGACAGATTTTTTTGTTTTTTTTACAATTTTGAAATGATTACTGCTCTAAGTTTTTTTTTTTTGTCTTAAATATTAAATGTTTATATGTATTTTTTTTTTTACAATTTTGATATAAGTTCTGCTCTAAGTGGGTTGCTCTTTCAGCTAAAGGCATTTTTTTAGAGTCGCTATATTCCATATAACGATTAATCAATTACTAAATTAGTTGATTATTTCAATAATTCATTAATCACAATTAATCCGATTGTTTCAGCCCTAATATATTGTCAAACAACCCTTCTTTAATGTTGAACAGTACAACTATTATTCTTTTGAAACCTTTTCTACCAACATCTATTTAAGCTTAAGAAAGCCTTATCATGTATTACTGTAAAGTCTCAGTGCATCAAGTTCTCTTGAAATACATGGAAGTCCTGCCATCTTTAATTCCCTTTTAGTCTTAATAAATGTTTTTATTGATCTCAACTAGAGGTATGCACTATATTGCCAAAAAATTGCAAATGTTTTGATTGGGAATTATCAGGGCGCACAACAGCAGAATTGTAAATTGACATTTTGTTGGTTATTGTATTCTAATTAACAGGAATTCACACATTAAATGACAATAAATGATTTGTTGCATCAACAGGCTGTACAGCACTAGGGTAGCGTTTCTTAAACTTGCCTTCCTTGTTAATCAACTGAACAATGGAGAGTCAATGGTTAAGAGCATTTCTCTAATGGATTAATCTGCTTAAAAACTATGAATAACTTTATACTGTATATCATATTCAGTTCTGTTTTAGTGTCCTTGATAACGTTTTGCATGAAAGAAAGCCTATAATTAGGTTATTAACACTGTAAGGAACAAGGTTCTTTGTTTTAAAAAGAAAAATACCCAAAAAATTTACAAATGAAAGAATACATCCACATGAACGTGCATTTTCAAGAGAATGGACATTTGCTACCAAGCCTGGGGGCCTCCTCTCCTCAGAAACATGTTGTTCTTATCACTCTGCGCCTGAAGCAGTATCCAAAAAGTGCCAGACTGCCTCCCAGCCCCCTGCCTCACCTCAACATATCCCACCTGCTTCCTAGCTGTTTCCCAAACACTTAAAGGCTTAATTATATACCCCTACCAGCCACTCTTAACACCCTCTTCTCCCTCGGCTCATCAGCTCCCAGTCTGTCTTGTTACCGTCACGCCTGGATGACTGCAAGACCCCGTCTGACTGATCGGCTACTGAGAAAGCAGCTTAATAAAACTCTAAATAAAACACTTTCAGTTTTAAAGTCAGAATATCTGCAGGTATTAAATGAAATTGGATTTGTTTGACATTATAGAGAAAAAAGTATCCTATAATGAAAGCAGACTACTGGTTTAATAATAAAATAAAAAAAATCCCAGATGTAAGATAACTGAACCTATTTAATGCACACATCTGATGTCCTACACCTTTAAATACAAAGAGAAAAAACTCTCTTTATCAGAGATACTCCTCACTTACACAATGAAGTGCCTGCACCTCTATTTATATTCATGACTGGTATTGAGCCTTGCATCAAGTCGGAACAGATGCAACCCTGCTGAGAATAAAAATCACAGCAGGAGTAAGATCACTCAATAACTCAGGATAACATAGTGGCACTGATGAGGTTTTTAACAGATTGTTAATTGATTCTTGTTTTTGATTCAGACCACCAAAAGCAAATATGCTGTTGCTCACAAGCAAATTCTTTACACATGTGGTGATTGCAAAATGTAGACATAAGGGATTAACTCCAGATAATCTGCCTGACGTTTTACCAAGGACTACGTCATTCGACTTGTTTCTAAAATGATTCAGACGAGGGGAGGATGAGAACTGACAAAGTAAAAGGGAGTGTTTACATAATCCAGATGACTTTAAAAACACTGGTCATGTTTACAACAGCAGAATAATTATTTTATTTGTAAATGAACCAAATCTTTCCTTCAATTCAGTTTAATTATACACGTCATCTCAAGGCATTTTACAGAGACAATTCAAAAAGATAATATAGTTGTTTTCTATCAAAGGAAAACCAGCTGATTGCATTGACTCATTTACAGCATGTATTAAGTGTCAGTGGAGAGGAAAAAAACTCCCTACACTTACCATGTTAGAAAAGGTAACATACAGGTGCTGGTCATAAAATTAGAATATCATGAAAAAGTAGATTGATTTCAGTAATTCCATTTAAAAAGTGAAACTTGTATATTATATTCATACATTACATACAAACTCATATATTTCAGATGTTTATTTTGTTTAATTTTGATGATTACAAATGACAACAAATGAAAATCTAAAATTCATCATATCAGAAAATTAGAATATTGTGAAAAGGTTCAAAATTGATGGCCCCTGGTGCCACACTCTAATCAGCTAATTAACTCAAACCACCTGCAAAAGCCTATAAATGGTCTTTCAGTCTAGTTCTATAGGCTACACAATCATGGGGAAGACTGCTGACTTGACAGTTGTCCAAAAGACGACCATCGACACCTTGCACAAGGAGGGCAAGACACAAAAGGTCATCGCTAAAGAGGCTGGCTGTTCACAGAGCTCAGTGTCCAAGCACATTAATAGAGAGGCGAAGGGAAGGAAAAGATGTGGTCGAAAAAAGTGTACAAGCAAGAGAGATAACCGCACCCTGGAGAGGATTGTGAAACAAAACCCCTTCAAAAATGTGGGGGAGATTCACAAAGAGTGGACTGCAGCTGGAGTGAGTGCTTCAAGAACCACCACACACAGACGTATGAAAGACATGGGTTTCTGCTGTCGCATTCCTTGTGTCAAGCCACTCTTGAACCACAGACAGCGTCAGAAGCGTCTTGCCTGGGCTAAAGAGAAACAGGACTGGACTGCTGGTGAGTGGTCCAAAGTCATGTTCTCTGATGAAAGTAAATTTTGCATTTCCTTTGGAAATCAAGGTCCCAGAGTCTGGAGGAAAAGAAGAGAGGCACTTCATCCACGTTGCTTGAAGTCCAGTGTAAAGTTTCCACAGTCAGTGATGGTTTGGGGTGCCATGTCATCTGCTGGTGTTGGTCCATTGTGTTTTCTGAGGTCCAGGGTCAACGCAGCCACATACCAGGAAGTTTTAGAGCACTTCATGCTTCCTGCAGCTGACCAACTTTTTGGAGATGCAGATTTCATTTTCCAACAGGACTTGGCACCTGCACACAGTGCCAAAGCTACCAGTACCTGGTTGAAGGACCATGGTATCCCTGTTCTTAATTGGCCAGCAAACTCTCCTGACCTTAACCCCATAGAAAATCTATGGGGTATTGTGAAGAAGAAGATGCAATACACCAGACCCAACAATTCAGAAGAGCTAAAAGCCACTATTAGAGCAACCTGGGCTATCATAACACCTGAGCAGTGCCACAGACTGATCGACTCCATGCCACGCCGCATTGCTGCAGTAATACAGGCCAAAGGAGGCCCAACTAAATACTGAGTGCTGTACATGCTCATACTTTTCATGTTCATACTTTTCAGTTGGCCAACATTTCTATAAATCCTTTGTTTTTATTGGTCTTCAGTAATATTCTAATTTTCTGATATGATGAATTTGAGATTTTCATTTGTTGTCATTTGTAATCATCAAAATTAAACAAAATAAACATCTGAAATATATGAGTTTGTATGTAATGTATGAATATAATATACAAGTTTCACTTTTTAAATGGAATTACTGAAATCAATCTATTTTTTCATGATATTCTAATTTTATGACCAGCACCTGTAGCTCCACAGTGGGATCTATCGAGGAGAGAAACGGTTTTCATATCAAAGGGAAAAAAATAAAGCACATACAGTCAGTCCCAATAAAAGCTGAGCCCGAAATTGTGTCTAGAAAGAAACAGGACTAAACATTGAAAAACAGGCCCAACTCGATCATACACTATATTGCCAAAAGTATTTGCTCACCCATCCAAATTATTGGAATCAGGTGTTCCAATCACTTCCATGGCCACAGGTGTATAAATTCAAGCACCTAGGCATGCAGACTGTTTTTACAAACATTTGTGAAAGAATGGGTCGCTCTCAGGAGCTCAGTGAATTCCAGCGTGGAACTGTGATAGGATGCCACCTGTGCAACAAATCCAGTCGTGAAATTTCCTCGCTCCTAAATATTCCACAGTCAACTGTCAGCTGTATTATAAGAAAATGGAAGTGTTTGGGAACGACAGCAACTCAGCCACGAAGTGGTAGGCCACGTAAACTGACGGAGCGGGGTCAGCGGATGCTGAAGCGCATAGTGCGAAGAGGTCGCCAACTTTCTGCAGAGTCAATCACTACAGACCTCCAAACTTCATGTGGCCTTCAGATTAGCTCAAGAACAGTGCGCAGAGAGCTTCATGGAATGGGTTTCCATGGTCGAGCAGCTGCATCCAAGCCATACATCACCAAGTGCAATGCAAAGCGTCGGATGCGGTGGTGTAAAGCACGCCGCCACTGGACTCTAGAGCAGTGGAGACGCGTTCTCTGGAGTGACGAATCGCGCTTCTCCATCTGGCAATCTGATGGACGGGTCTGGGTTTGGCGGTTGCCAGGAGAACGGTACTTGTCTGACTGCATTGTGCCAAGTGTAAAGTTTGGTGAAGGGGGGATTATGGTGTGGGGTTGTTTTTCAGGAGCTGGGCTTGGCCCCTTAGTTCCAAGGAAAGGAACTCTGAATGCTTCAGCATACCAAGACATTTTGGACAATTCCATGCTCCCAACTTTGTGGGAACAGTTTGGAGCTGGCCCCTTCCTCTTCCAACATGACTGTGCACCAGTGCACAAAGCAAGGTCCATAAAGACATGGATGACAGAGTCTGGTGTGGATGAACTTGACTGGCCTGCACAGAGTCCTGACCTCAACCCGATAGAACACCTTTGGGATGAATTAGAGCGGAGACTGAGAGCCAGGCCTTCTCGTCCAACATCAGTGTGCGACCTCACAAATGCGCTTCTGGAAGAATGGTCAAAAATTCCCATAAACACACTCCTAAACCTTGTGGACAGCCTTCCCAGAAGAGTTGAAGCTGTTCTAGCTGCAAAGGGTGGACCGACGTCATATTGAACCCTATGGATTAGGAACGGGATGTCACTTAAGCTCATATGTGAGTCAAGGCAGGTGAGCAAATACTTTTGGCAATATAGTGTATATAAATAAGGTGCTGATGGCAGCAGCTGATATTTCTCTCCAGGACTCACTTGAAAAAAGCCCCAATAAATCAAAACTGACTCCACCTACTCCCAATAATTTAAAATTATTCAAAATCTGTAGCCCACCCCTTTCTGTCCATAAATGCATTAAATCAAAAAATAGTTCACTTTTGAGCTTGATAAATTTCAACTGAAAATTCATGTGAAAATATGGTTACACTTTTTGATTAATTAAATCTCAAAGAAAACAGAAAATCAGGCGTGGTGAGGAGCGGCTAGTGTGGAGCTAATAAAAGATTTGGATATCCAAACAAACATTTCAATGAATAATTAGAACTATCTAGCCCAGCTGTTACTAGAATATTAACAAACATAGCATAAGAAGGTGAATGATTGTCCTCTTTCTTTAGGCCATTTATGCTGTTGCCCCCTTTGATGGAGTGGATGAGAGTTGCCATAGTTCATGCCGAGCATCGCAAGAGTCTGTTGGTGGACAGTGACGATGTTCGACAGAGCGCTAGGCTTCTACTTCCAGGACTCGACTGTGAGCCAAGACAACTGAAGTAAGTCGATACGCAACACGTAATTGTAAAAAAAAGTTGTTGGCTTTAAAATTTTTTTAAATATTTATAATGCTTCTGGATGACGACTCACTGTCTTCAGTGTTATTTTACAGCTATTTCTGGGAATAAAAGCAATGCAAGTTATATCATGTCTGCATGAGATTACAAAGAAAAGCTTTGCACAAAGTGTAAAATTGTATATTTTTCAAATGATCCTCTTTAAGAAGAAGAAAAATATTTTTTTTTTCTTCCTTTTAAGGCCTGAGTGTTGCTTTAGCTCCTTTAAGCGTCTGGACTCCAAAGCGGCCATAGATAAGTTTAACCTGGATTTGGGTTTCCGGATGCTTAACTGCGGACGCACAGATCTCATTGGTCAAGCCATTGATCTACTCGGGCCAGATGGAGTCAACAGCATGGATGACCAGGTACTGCTAAAGCAAATGCATAAATTTGAACAGGCCTATAAGCATATACCATGAGTACAGTAACTTAAATTATTTGTTAATATTTGTGGATAAGGGCGGGGTAAATCTTCAGACGAGTCAGCAGCTTTTACTCAAACATTCTTTACACAAGCATAGATATCAAGTTTTGGATTTGAAAATAAGGGAAATTTCAAAACGTCCCCTGCAAGCCATACGTCTATCTCTCTCAAGCCCCAGTATCCATTATATTTTAGATAATGTTCACATGAAAATCTAGAAAAACCAATTGCCAACTAAATTTAGGCGATCCAACTTTGACTTGCAAAGCTTGCTAACAGTTCCATTTGAAGAGGCAGATCAAGGTTTTTTGATTTTTATGTTAAGTATTTTATATGTAAGTATAGAAATTTATTGGGGACTTCTGATACGGGACGACTGCGGGAAAGAGGAATAAAACATGGTAGTTTTTTGGCCAAAACAGGAGACTTGAAAGTTATACAAAAATGTATACATTTTCATCAAATCCAAAGTAATCTCACACAAAGAAAAGAAATCAAACCTGATTGTATGGTAAATTATCAGTTTATGATATCTTGGATTCCTGTCGCCCAGGGTATGACTCCACTGATGTATGCCTGTGCAGCTGGAGATGAGGCCCTTGTTCAGATGCTGATTGATGCTGGAGCCAACCTCGATGTGGCGGTAAATACAGAATGGATTCCCTCAATATTTACACCTCAAATACATGTATACATTATATAGTTTTATTTGTATAAATAAAATATCTCAATCCTCTTCATAAACATTATTTTTGGCTTGATATTGAAAGTATTAATGTACTCGTCTAATCTGTTCTGTCTCTGCAGGTTCCACATTGCTCTCCAAAGCATCCTTCTGTGCATCCTGACAGTCGACACTGGACAGCTCTCACCTTTGCAGTGTTGCATGGACACATTCCTGTAGTGCAGGTAGGAAATAAAGATGTACATTTATTTTAGTATCTTTAGTATTACCATATTAAATGTAGATAATTGTTTTACCCCCATTTAATATTATGTTGCCATAGAAATTATCAACAGCATTTTTTTTTTTTGCATTCATCCATTCAGATGTAAGCTCAACAGAATAAAACCAATAGTTAAATCCCCTGTGGAACTAGAATCTCTCACCTTCAAAGCAAACTAGAGCACTATAGTGAAGCTATTTTTCTCTCCACTCTTTTCGCTTAAGACAGGGGAATTGCTTTTGTTTAGTTTTTTTATATAAACAAAGCTGTTTTTCATACCCCTGCACAGTTGCTGACGTCAGATGCCAGTAACCGTGTTTAAACCTGAGGGAGGTGAAAAACAGATGGGTTTAGTGAAGAAAAAAAAAGATTGCAACAAACATGCAGTAAATCCTCAAAAGGATGCCTCTTATAGTGCTGTAGACAGTAGCTATTTCTACAGCTTATTAGTAAGGAGAAATCATTTAGGGATGAGCTGACCTTTAAGTAACAACAAAAAGTTCATTTAAATGACAGAGAAAAGAACAAACTTAACTTGTTCAGCTTTGTAATTTACCAACACTAACAATTCCTATTTGTAAAGAAAAACACCCAAATTGTGTTGTACTCCAAATTAACGTTATCAGACGTATCATCTGTAAATGTCCCGCATTTAGATATTGGTTAAATAATAGGTAAATCAACAAAAAGTTCCTAGTTAGTGAGGTAACATACCAGATCCTCCATGTGCCAAGTTTGATTGACAGTAAACTACAATGTACTATAGTATCACTGCATGTATGCTGCATACCGAATACATTATTTTGCAGTGCCTGTGTTGCCATATTCATATTCCTTGTATCAAACTTATTAATTTAAAAGTCTTTTATAGAATGAATGGTATTTGAGGTATGGATTTGGTTTCCTGCAGCAAGACAACAACTATACTAAAAAAGCATGTGTGACTTGAGGACCAGACTGACATGGCTTTGTGTACTGGTTGATTTGAAAGTTTGTTGTAAACATACTGTGGGTGTAATATAACACATAGTTCTGACTTATGGTCTGAATTCAATAAAGGAAAAGATAAAGGATTTCAGACCTGCTTATTAAAATGGATGCGTTTGTCTGCAGCTTCTGTTGGATGCAGGAGCCAATGTGGAGGGAGCAGCAGTCCGAAATGGACAGGAGGCCACAGCAGACACTCCGCTGCAGCTGGCATCTGCAGCAGGTGGGTAAAGGCAGACGTTTCAGCTCAGAGCATAGCTCATGTTAGACGGGGGCTCACAAAAAGTTGGTTTGTTTTTTCATTTAACTCATTAGTAAACCACTACCCTAAACGACAGGCAGAACAGTTGACGAAAAGAAAGATGGATAAATGAAAGTGTTTGTTTTACTGGAAAACTACTGATAGCAACTGGTTTGTAACTTATATCACACAATACAAGTTTCCCATAGACCACCAAGTTGTGAATGCGCAGAGGTAATTGGTGGGGAATGAGGGTGTGAAATGAAGGTGTGGTGAATGAAGAAGTGCTGCCTGCAGTAATTTAGTCCCCTCTGGGCCACATTCCTCCATGGGATCCACTTTAAAGTCACAGTAAATGACACTCAGTCCACATAGTCCTACTGACAGAGTGCAAACGGCTTGATGTGAATGTGCTGCTGGTTTCTGACTGTAATGTTAACCGATACTCTTCAATTGATCTTCAGTAAAATGTACTTTGCATAAATTCATATACAAAAAAAGTAAATCAGATATTCAAGAAAAACTTTGATTTTGTGCTTCTCAGGTAACTATGAGATGGTGACGTTGCTCCTGGCACGTGGAGGTGACCCCTTATCAAAGAACCATGATGGAAATGCTCTGACTTCATCCCTTTATGAAGACATGAACTGTTTCAGTCATGCTGCTGCACATGGACACAGGTGGGTCTTATGTAAACCATAGAGGCTCTGCTCACATATTAAGGACTTATATTTAAAGAAAACCTCAAAGAAAAAATCAAAATTCATTATTTTTGGACTGAAGAGATTTTGAGTTTATTCTTTCAAAACCTTTTAGAAACATGGATATTATTAAGTTAATCTGTTTAAAAACTTAAATGCATAACAAAAACTTGTATATGATAAATTAGAAGGCCTCTCTCTGTTAATAAGCTTATGAAAACCAAAAATTAGCTCACCTTAAAAATACTTTCACATATTTTCTTTCCACTTAACTTTTCTTTAATGTGCTTGGATACAGTTCTCTTTGATAACTTTAAAACTCGAAGTGAACATCATGACTTTGTGCATTTCTGCAGTATTTTCTATTTTTCATACTGATTTACCTTCTCTTTGATGGAAACCATAATTATGAAAATGAACCAATTTTATATATATATATAATATATATATATATATGAAATGTAATATTGTTTAAAAAAAAGTGCAAAAGTGAGGACAGTTGTCCATTAGTTTCTAAATAAAAACTGGTAGAGTGATCTTATAGTTTGTTCATAATATAATGTTGACTCAACATTTCACACAAAGGGTGATGGATTATTTAATCACAGGGAGATTAAAGAGTCACAGAAATTAAATGTGTTACCATTGGAGCATAGATAATTGATTCAGTGCCTTCCGTTTCCTTCTCCTTGCCTCCCCTCTTCCCTCTCTATTGTCTTGTCAGAAACGTGCTTAGGAAGCTACTGACTCAGCCCCAGCAAATCAAAGAGGATGTCCTGTCTCTGGAGGAGATCCTAGCTGAGGGAGTGGAGGAAGAAGTTCCAGGGATGTGTCCTTATCTTTCAGCTCCTTCCAATGGCACTCCAGCACTGCAGGATGCTGCTATACCCAAGCTGAGCAAAGCCAGGATGAAGGCTCTGCAAGAAGCCAGCTACTACAGTGCTGAGCACGGCTATCTTGATGTCACCATGGAGCTTCATGCAATGGGTACCTTTGAGATAGCAAATAGACCACAAGGTTTTTAGTCTTTTTTTGTTTGTTTTTTGTGTATCCAAAACAGCTAAAACTTCTGTTTAATCAGGTGTACCTTGGAAACTTCACGTTTGGCTGGAATCTCTTCGCTGCACTCATCAGCAGTCCAGGACAGGCGCCACCCTCTCTCTTCTTAAAGAATTTACCACAATCCGAGAGGAGGACTACTGCGATGAACTCGTCACCACTGGCCTACCACTTATGTTCACTATCCTCCGAACCACCAAGGTATCACCTAGCATGAAGCCCTTCATGTTTAGCACTTATTGGTCATTGGAAAAGAGAAAAAAAATGCTTCCCTCTACTACTTTCTTTCAGAATGATGCCATTATACAGCAGCTGGCAGCTATTTTTAGCCATTGTTTTGGCTCTGCACCACTTCCAGCCATTCCTGAGATGAAGGCATCTCTTTCAGCTCAGTTGGGTAAGAAGAGTTTGATTTCTGTGTGCCTGAATCAATGTGTTCTCTGTCCTAAAGCTATAAAAATATAGATTTCAGACATAGATCCCAGAACTGTAAAAGGCTGCTATTTTTACATTGATTGAAGGATTTACTACCCTGAAATCTGAGCCAGTTTTACCTTTTAAAATGATTAGTTACAGTAAATAAAAGTAGAGTTTATAAAAAAAAAAAAAAAAAAGTTTTTGTTTTATTTTTTTTTACAGATCCACTCTTTTTGAACAACCCAGACATGTCAGATGTGACATTTTTGGTGGAGGGGAAACCATTTTACGGACACAAAGTTCTTCTGATAACTGCCTCTGACAAGTAAGCAATCACACTTCACTCTGCAGATGAGGAGTAATTGTAGAAAATACAGTAATATTTTTGAGACTGCGGTTTCATGCCACTATAAACAGGTAATTAGACTATAATAAAAAAAATGTTATGTAGCTTTTCTGATATTTAAGTGCAGTCTGTGTAAAAGGTGTTTTTAAGAAAGGAAAAATTATAAAGTTCATTTTAAACGGTCTTTAACCTCTTTTTTTTTAGATATGGGTTACCTGGTAGAACAGAATGGAATTAATTTCCTGCAAAGGGACTTATCCAATAGTACTTTAAAATAACTTTTCTCCACTCCAGATTCAAATCTCTGCTGGTGTCAGATGGAAGACCAGGCAAAGAAATTGAGATCAGTGATGTCAAATACCACATTTTCCAGGTATGAATAACATTTAGTATACAGTTATGTCAAACATGAGGACTCTACTTCAGTGTTATTTGGATACCAGAACATGTATGGAATAAAGAAAACGCAGCTTTCTATTGGAGGAATCTCATTCATTTATGTCAGCAACATCTGGCCAGCTCAGTCATAAAACCATGAATTTTAGCATCTAATAAGTCACTGAAAAAAAAGACCATCAGCAACCTGCCACATGATTAAGTACCCTAGACAATACCCTAGAAAATCCCCCAAATCGGAAGGTTGGAATGGAAATTAAGAACTGGGAAATCGTTGGTCTAGATTTTAATGAGATGCTGTAACTTTATTTGGGGTTTAAATGCAGTCAACCCCTCAGACTGATGCCAGTGGTCGATAACTCCAAGAACTGTCTCATGGAAGTTCCATAATTCGTCTAGCTAAAATTTGGTGTTTCCCAACCTTTTTCTGAGGGCCAGAAAACAAATGTTTACATTTTATCTAAATTTAATGAATGTAACATCTTTTTATTTGTATATGTCAAAATAATTCTATAAATATATAAGTCAAGAATGGAAATTTGACCTCTCTGCAGATGATGATGTCTTACCTCTACTGTGGAGGAACAGAGTCTCTGAAAACAAACGTGCAGGACTTACTAGAGGTGAGAACGGCTGATTGTTTTTTAACTGTTTTTTTAACTAGAAGGAGAAATATGTTCTTCTAAAAACAAATTTATGCACAGTGTGAATACAGCGCTTTATGGTATGGGTCATCAGGTAAACGGATGCCTGATATTTGGTCAAAGTTTAAATATATCTGAATGGATCAAACCAGTTTTGTTCAGTTTAATCAATCAGGCTGTAAATATTAAACCTGAGAATATACCATATTTGCAGCAGTTAAATTGATATTAAGCTACGTGTTTCAGTTTTACTGTAAAATTTTTTCGTATTAGTAAATCCACACCACTTTGATCAGAGTAAAAGTAATGTGTAGGTTGTTTAAACCAGTTTATCTCACCAAAAACAAACTAAAGAGGGAGCAAATTTAAATGATGAATAGCTCTAACCTAAACCTCATCTATCCATGTCACACTGGCTTCTGATTTTTGCTTATTAAAAAACAGACAAGGAAGTATTTTGTGTTTGTTATATTTAAGGGTAATGGCACCTCTCTGTGTATAAATAGTCTTACTAACTAGGTGGGAAGCTCACAAGTCTTTGATAAGTGTGATCCAAATCTCTGGGTGCTACTGAAACAGCCTGAGGCAGCAACAGCTCTTTGTAATCCTGCATCTTGGGGCATGCAAACACACGCATTTCTGTGGAATTGATTTCAGTTGACACTTCCTCATCATTCGCACTAGAACTGGAAAACTGTTAAATAGGCTTCAAATCACTTTAATCATCCAAACATGTTGATTTTGCATCACTATGAAGAATGTGCTGATTCTAATAAAGGTTGAAACTACTCAGTGTTTGCAACCTCCTGATAGGGGTGCATAATAAAAAAATAATATTAGATCATAAGCAATGGTGGATCACTTTTTTTTTTGTTTTTCTCTTTTAGCTTTTGTCAGCTGCTAATCAGTTCCAGCTGGTGTTGCTACAAAGACACTGTGAGCTCCTCTGCTCTCAGCACATAAACCTCGACAACGCAGTAAACATCTACAAGACGGCTGAGGTAAAGTCTTTTCCTATATGCTGTTCTTGTGTAACTTAAGCTGTACTTTATGACCAAGTAAAAAATGCCTATTTCTCTTCAACAGATAAACGGTTCAGTGGAGCTTAGGGCCTTTTGTGAGAGTTTCTTCCTGCAGCAGATGCCAGCACTCCTGGAAAAGGAAGGCTTCAGGACCCTTTTACTGGGAACCCTCGGAGCTCGACAAGGGAATAACTGCACTTCGCTGGCTCACAGCCGCAGTGACTCACCTCTGCCAGAGCTGGAGGCCATTCTGGCTCAGCGTCTACGCTCGCTTTACATATCATCTCAAGTCTGAAGATATGAACTGCTGTAATGAAACAAGATGCAGACAAGTAACAGAAGCATGTGAAAGTTGCAGAGGAAGGTTTATTGTAAATACAGTCGGATCTGTAGGGGCTACATCCCAGGGCAGGTTAAACAGAACTCCTGACACGGAGGTACAGATCAGTGGCTGAATATATTTATGTGTGCCAAGCATCCAATAAAGGTAGTTACTGTGATGGGAACAGTACATTTATAGAAAGGTGGTTCTGTTTTTGCTTTTCTCCAAGACTCAGGAAGCCTAAATGGAGAGGCCTCTTAAATGACAGAACACTGCTGCCACCTAGTGGACAGCTTTAAAGGCCTGCATAAAGGATTGCCTGAAGAATGGGATTTGCAGCGCCCCCTAGAGCTTAACTAAAGCTATACAGTGATCCTAGACTGAAAATGCAGTGGGAGGAGGACTCAGTCCATTCTTATTCAAGAATTCCTCTTTTATATTGACTGTTTTTAAATAAAGTATGAGCAGAGACATTTTCTGCTAAGTGGGATGGACATTGTCTATTTAATGAGAAAAAAAAAGATGTGAAAGTATTTAATGGGGTGTACCCTTTTTTATGTCATTTTTATTTCAAGCTAATATTTTAAAAAATGCTACAGCTGTTTATGCAGGCATATTAATATGCTAATATCTTTATGTTTAACATATCTACAGCCAAAACAGAAGGATTTGAAACACATGACTGTTTAGATGCTGATTTGCGTAAATAAACCACGATTTTGACTGGAACCATGTTTGTTTGCATGTTGTCTGGTATTCTTTAAAAAAAAAAAAAAAAAAAAAAGCTGAGGTCTCTATCACAATGCAGGATTACTGGGGAAGCAAGAAAACTTCAGGTTTAACCCCGACTTTCTGGTACCACAAAGCTGGATTCATTCTTAGCTCCAGCAGTCATTGGGCAAAAGGCAAGGTAGTGTGACCCTAGACAGTCTATAAACAGGAAAAAATACAGAAAACCACCATGCGCAAACACAGCCTAGGGACAACATAGAGACCCATCAACCCAAGAGTTAATGTTGATGTACAGCTGGAGGAAGCTTTAATAAGTGAGAACAACTCACATACACTGAATAGAAACAACTAAAGTAAACTTGGTGTTTAGATTGGCAATCAATGTCCCACCTCCATATCTCCATCCGCTGAGCACTTAGTAAAATGTACAGGTTTAATAACTGCTTGTTTGGCCAGCAAATCTACACAGCCAACCTTAAATTTTCAAAAGATTAGTCATCATACCTAAAGTATGAAAGCAATCAAAGCCCATTGAATCGCTAAGCCATGCTAGGCTAACACATCTCTTCAGCAGTGCCACATCCATGATTTTCTCCAGCTGTAAACAATAAATGTTAATTAGATGAACCAGGTACACAAAAATAAGTCATGGGGCCTGGGAACTTATTTGGATCCCATGAATGATCTGACGAGAGATATTTAAACATCATAAGCTGAGAACTAAAGACTGGAGAGACAATTAAACAGATTAAGCCTTTTCATTGAAATCTACCATCTGTATGTGGTTGTTTTAAGAATAATAAAAAAAAATACAGCAGTTTCTCAAGGTCAAAAACCTTTAAAATGTTTTATAATATAGCCAACACATATTGTATGTATATTGAATTTATTTGTATACAAGAAAGAAACATTTTTGCCAAAACCAACAACCAAAAATAATTAAATTTCTTTTTTTTTTCTTAGTTTGGTTGAACTTTTCATTTCCACCTTAAGTATATCCACTACTATTGTTGGGTCTGCACCAAGATACACAGAACTGAATAAGTGAAACGAACACAACATAACTGAATGAGTTTATTGTTTCAGCACTGAAAATGCTCACAGTTATTTAGAATGGGGATTACATCAGTAAGCTTTGCTCCTGCTCTGTCAAAAAGCAAAACAAAAAAAACCAACAAAAGACCCCATTGGGCCAATATTTCTCCTCTGTGCTGTCTGCTTCCTATTGTAGAAAACAAAGAGGAGGGGGATATCAGGTATTGCTTTGATTTTGTAGTAGTGGTATTCCCTCCCTGTGCCTCTGCAATCACCAGGCAGAGAGCCCAGACCTCTGAGCTTTCTACGGAGAGGTACAGTGTAAAGGAAGCATTGTTGAAAAACTTTGTGCACAAGCTGAAGGAAGAAAAACAAAGTCAGCGGGAGTGGGAGGAAAGTGAAAAAAACAAAAACAAATAAAAGGCCAGAATTAAAAGCAGAGAGAAGGGAATTTCAACTTTAAAATACAGTACTGTAGGTGGGGGCGGGATCAATGAAGGCTGGTAAAAGGGGTGAGTTTGGCATGGAACATTAAACACTAAAGCCATGCAAAGAAAAGCTCCTGTTTGACATGCACACAGCAATACAAGCAAAAAAGCATAGAGCAGGAATCCCCAGCATGGTTGAGAAGACAATCAACCCCCACAGCTTGTCTGTCTATTTACAAAGAGAAGAAACAGATCTGCTGAGTTTTCCTCCTCAGGCCTGGCATACAACGCACGATAATATGAAACTGACAAATATCAATAGAAGAGCATGTTCCCTCTTCAAAAAGAGGCTAAGTCTACATTCTTAAATTACTGGTAAAATCATTCTCTTTCCAGAGTTCCTACAAGTTCTTATTTCCTCTTAATCGAGGTCTGGAAATTTGTCAAAGTTCACATATTTTAGTTTAAATTGGACCAAAAACAAATCAAATAAATCCAAGCTTTTTTTTTTTTTCTTTAAATGTCCCATTTACAAACACACAAGAGGGTAGTAAATAACATTCAACTGACCTAACAGCTTTGTTCATATAAATAGCCAAGTTATAATAAATTAGGAATCAAACAGTGAGATGAACAAATATGAATAAATAAATACGACAATACAAAAATATTCACAATTGCATTTATCACATTTTTTTTCTTTGTTCCTCTACTCCTACTGCTGGTATTGGAGACTAAGAGAGAGGTACAAATGGAAAATCAAAGAAAGTGCTGCAGAGAACTGGGAACGTTCGGATAATTTCCTGGTCGATCAGACAAGGAAACAGAAATACACAGAATTCAAAATGAGAGAATGAACAGGCGTAGCTTCAGTTGCCTGTTTCTATGATATCCAACAGTGTCACAACTAGGCATTACTTTTTTTCTTTTTTTACATTAAAAATGCTTTCAGTTTGTACAAGAGAATAGATCATTCATTTTAAATACCCACATAACCCTCCCTGCAACCCCCCCATACTTTCATTTGATCTCCCCATCCTCCCTTTGGCCGGTTCGGCTAACAGCCCCATCCTCCCTTTGGCCGGTTCGGCTAACAGCCCCATCCTCTCTGAAATCAGAATTTCAGTCCATTTTGCAGCAATAGTATCAAGTCTTGTAAAATTCAGAAATCAAACCCAGTTCATCACAAAGTACAATAAAAAGAAATCGAATACAATCCGGCAAGCGCCTGTGTTGGTTGTTTGGGCTTTTCAGAACACATCCTCTTCTCAGAACACATCCTCTTCTCTTCCCTCCTCCTAAGATTTCAAAAAGTCTTTAATATATTTTTTTATGTTATTAAAGTTAATACGAGTACATCCCAGAGTTTTTTTGTGCATGATTTTTGTATGTTGTATCTTGTGTTTTTGATCAGTGCTTTATTTCCAATAATATAGAATAAAGAAAAATCCCTTAAAAAAAATCAAGGAACTGATGTCTGGAGTGCATGATTAAGTAAGGTGAAAATGCGCAAGGATTTTCATCTACTTCTACTGACGGGTGCCAGAGGTGGAGTTGGAGAGCAGTTGAAGGTGGAAGTCTGTTTTCGGCACGTCTCGGAAAGGAATCCTCCACTGACACCTGTCCGAAACTCTTGGCACATTCGAAAGGGGTGGATGGAGGGTAGTTGAGGGAGGGCGATAGGAGCATGGAGCGCGAGGAGGGACTTTAATAGGTTTTCTGGATAATTCCTGGTGTTAAAAACAATTTAGGACATTACAGAGGTTAACAGCAGCAAGGAAGACCAACAATAAGCATAGGACAAAGGGGATTTGGTGGGTTGGGTGGAGGGAGTGTTAATGACTGTGGAAAATGAAGGAAAATGAAAACTGGGAAGCTATTTAAATGTGCACATGTTATGGAGCTGCAGTATATATTTTTTTATCTTTTAATATATTTTTTTCCAATTATCACTTAATTAAATGTTCTCTCTTTGCTTGATTTTGATTTGATTAATCTAAAAAATCTCTCTGTCTAAGACTCTTCCTCTGACCCCACAGACGCCAAGGACAGCTTGGCTCTGTCTCGGCCTGCAGCTGGAAATTTGGCGTCATTGTTTTCTGACTGGTGCCTCCGAACTTGCATAGGAGAGGGGCAGTGTTTGGTGAGCATGCCGACCGGATGGGGCACCTGGCCGTTCTTCTCGTCTGAAAAAAGTTGGTCAGTTATTTCAAGAGAGCTACTCAGTGCTCTACTAGTGTACAGAAATGAGGAAAATGTAGGAACAATGGTGGGATTCAGGAGATAAAGATAAGGATCACTGCTAGACAGAGAAACTAAAGGACAGTTTGGGGAGATGCAACAAAGACGACCTGTGCTTTTAAAGGAAAAAATGTCAGAAAGTTTGAATCTAAAGCAGATCTTTTTATCAATCCATAAAGTTTCAAGATTAAATATATATACAGTTCCACTAATATGTAATTAAACGTCCCTTCAGAGATTGTGGGCAATTCCAGTTTCCTGGCGGCCATTATCCTGCAACTTTTAGATTCACTCTTGGTCCAACACACCTGAATCAAATGGCTGAGTTACCTCCTCCGTATGCAGTTTGTTCCTCCAAAGTCCTCTCAATCATCTACGGTACTTACTTGATTCAGATGTGTTGAACCAAAGGCACTTTTAAAAGTAGCAGGACATCGGCCCTTAGGAACTGGAATCACCCATCCCTGCTCTAAGCTGTGTGCTCGCACATTCTCAGCGCACAAGAATTTATGCAGCACATAAAACAAAATCCAAATATAAATCCATTAGACCAATAATAATTTTTCTGTATCATTTTTAATCCCTGTATCATATGTTTTACAACTTAAAACCAACAATGAAAGTAGGAGAAACAACCAAATTGCCCCCTAATTTTATATATATATATATATATATATATATATATATATATATATATATATATATATATATACGTGTGTGGACGTAGTGTATGTAATTTATATACCCGCATGCATCTTCCTTTGGCACATTCTTCTTCTTTTTAACTACTGTATTTGAGCTGATGTAATGAGTAAATTTCTCCACTGTGAGATCAATAAATCAATATGTATATATATATATTAAAAGCTTTACAATGTATTTGGATTGTCTAAGACTTGCTAGGAAATATTTTCCAAATATTTGTCGAGATGTGTGTTCAAATTTTAATCTGTATTTTTGACCTTATTTTGTTGTACCATCATTCCAAAGTAAAAACAAGAATGTTTCAAATGCATCATTAAAGGCAAATTGTAACTCATGCCAAAGAGAACATGGATATACACTTCTAAACGGCACTGTTCATTAAAATACAATGACTTAACAAAAAACAAATTGGTAGATCTAAGCAAAAAAATCCTAATTAAGTCTAAACAGTTTTTATTTTACAAACTGTCTGCTATACATCTATATGTCAATATTTTGTTGAGCAGGTCTGGTCAGCTGTTGCTAGCAAACAGAACTATCAGGATACATTAGAGATTACTATTATGGTTCAAATGTAACTGAGAATCAACAAAAAGAGGATATTAATATAGATTAATATAGATTAATCTCCCTATGTTTTCTAACCAAACTGTTAAGAATAAACTAAACACAGATATTCATACAGCTTAACTCTTGGTACAGTTCAGCTCATGAAAGCTGTCCACTGGTGTCGGGCCTAAAGTACTTAGTGAAATGCACGTACCTCAGTAATGTTAGATAGAACAACTGCTTTGATTACTATTCCAAAGTTGAACACATGAATCTGCAAATGTTGTTTTTTACATTAAACTGAAAGGCTCTTAGAAGTAACAGAACTATAACATAACAGAGATAAAATATAATAAATTAGTATTTCTGTCTCAATTCTTCTTTTTTTTTTTTTGATAAATGAAAAATTACCACCAAATTACTACAGACAGACATTAAAAGCATATGTGGACTTCTCCTCATAATGATTATTTCAGCATTTGGTGCAGCACTAAACAAGAGCACTAAACATGGAAAACAGAAAATAAAAATGTAATGTTCCACAGTTTATTGTGTCATATCTTTGCACAGTTTCAGTTAAACACTTTCTGATTAGTTGGCAAACAGCCGTTTGCCCAGGAGTCCTATGAAGTGAAACAAGCAGCAACAATTTTTCAGTTAGAAAAAGAGCCTGAGGGGTGAGGACAAGACAACACATGCCAGACAAAATATTTCATGTATCTGCAACTATGTGTGTTTGGTAATAGCATGCAGTCGTCTATTAATCAAATAGACATAATTAACATTAAGATAATTAGTTCGGTGATTTTACCGAGTTCAATAAAGCCAAGGGAAGCTTTGCATATAATATAATGCAACTTTATTTTTTATAATATTCTTAATATTAACACTAGTAATCCAGGCTAATAAAAACACTCTTTGTTGCGGAAGTTGTTACTGTAGAAAGAAAATAGTAACATAGTCATTATCAGGGTCAGTGAGGAGATTGAAAACAGAGTTGCAGGAGTCAAAAAAGCTTTGTTTTCACCTTACCCTAACCTCAGGAGGGACTGGTTTGCTCTCAAGTTCATTAAAAAACTCTACAAGAACAAGAAACCTGATGTTGTTTTCGTTTGTTTTGCTTCCAAGTATTCATACTTCAAGAGAAGCTTAACTGCCAAACTTATAGAAAGTCCCCATCCACTATAGCTTACGTCGTGCCTGCCAAGAAAATGAACTATCCATTACATAGAAGAACAGATTGATCACTATTGAAATTTTTTCACCTGAAATAAAGAAGGGAATCTGAATTTAAAAACAAAGGGGAAAATCATCTCTGCATTTCCTTCTTAACAACGCCCAATCAACAATCGGATACACAGAGAAAAAAGTTCTGACCGTACGAGTCAATGTGTATTTTTCATTTTTGGCTTCTTTTATAAAAACATCTATCTAAGAAATTTTTGTAAATCTCAGCTCAAGTAAATATCTACATTCTAAAGGGGCTTAAAGAACACTGCTCAGTATAGTATGCAATTATGCCATTTTCACTATGAGACGCTAAAGGCAACCTAAAATGTTATGTGCATATCTTTTTTTTGTTGTAAATTATTAAAACTAAATTTGACACCATATTCTCTCTCTCTTTCAAACACTCACATGTTGGGACATAGTCCTGGCAAAATCTACATCAGCGAGTCCACGTTAATAAAAACTGTAAATCTGCCACAATTGTCAAGTCATTGCATCTCTGGTTGTCTGCACCTTGTGAACTCTAGGGGGGTTTCCTTCAATCAAGGTGCTCAGATTTTTACTCTTCTATCAGACAACCCTAAGTAATCACTATGACCTAATAGTGTAATAGTGCAATATTAAAGATTAACATTTGGTAATAAGATGAAACTGATATTCAGGAGAAACACAAATTTCTGGCTGATTAACACAAGCCTGTTTGTTGTTCCCCTGCTGACCAACAGATGGGGCTATTGCAAAGCAAATGAAGAAGTGGAGAAGAAAATCAACAGATAAAAAATGCTAAGAGCAGAAGGGAGGATGAAGATTTCTGTATCTTTTCCCTACCTTCATAGTTTTTCACTCAGTGCATTAGCAAAACTTATCAGAGACACTGAGGGGAAACAACAGACTAATGTGTTCAGGGGCTCTGTAGCTGCCTTGAAACTAATGAGACAAAAGAGGAGCTAATCATACTGTCAGGAGTTTGCTCTAAAACATTGAGATGTCAAAGGAGTCCAACATGGAGGAGACTAGCTGGGCGTCTTATTTTCTCAAAAAGATGCTGAAAACAAAAACAGAGGCACATACCAGCCGTGTTGCTGAGAGGATTTGAAGAGTGCGTTAAGACACAACAGTGTTGCCATGGCAGCAAGCATGGACGATCGGTTTTTATAATTGGAATAATCTCACGTAAATAAACTTAATCTACCTTTACTTCAATCTTTAATTTGCTGTGGCAAAATGAGAACATTTTGGCCTGTAGTCGACGCTTGAGAGCAACCCCTCCCTGTTTTTAAGGTCGGTCAGATGCAGGCACAGCAAAGGAAGCAGTTTGGTGAAGCAAGGACAGACACAGACTGGGGAAGAGCAAGATTCATCTAAGCTTCTAAGTTGTGAAATACTGATTAAGAGGTGGGATGGAAAGGTGAGATGTTTGTGAGGAATTTGAGGGGAGAGTTTGGAAAAAAGGAATTTGGGGGGTGGAGGTGTTCCAACTTACCAGAGAGCTGTTGGACCCCAGGCTGATCATGTGTGCTTAACAACTGGCTTTGAATTGTCTCGACTACTCGCTTAAAACGTCGGCTTGGACCTGCACACAAGTAAGGCGAAAACATTGGATTAATAAACCTAAAGTTATTGCCTAGGTCCTGAGTTCATAGATTGTAGCTAGTTCACTTCGATCATCCACTCTAGTAGGAAAATGAGCTGAAAAGGAAAGCAAGCAGCACATTCTCTGAGTGACGTATGGATATCATAAGTAAAACTAGCGTTTCCCCACAAACAAAAGTGAAAATGTCTGCTTATTTAACCAGAATTCAACATGGAAAACACTACTGTAGAACAAGAAAAGAAAAATACTTACAGTAATAAGGAGCCATTATTCTTTGCTGAAACCTTATATACATGCCGGCAGGCTGCTATATAATCTCAAGGTCTGAACTTTTTACTGTACAGTTTACCTGGCTGCAATTGACAGTTTCAGGATAAAACTGTCAATTAGTTTTTAGATTGCTTTTATCAGTTGCCATTCATAATAATTCAAGGTTATTCTCATTTTTCACTCTTACCCAAATCTCATTTTAAACTTTAGACACATTTACAGTTAGATAATTTTAAATAAATAATTTTGAAATGATCTCAGGTGTTGTTTTTCATAAGGTTGCTCTCACACATTAAATGTGGAAGATTAGATTATACTATTTTATTTGTCTATAAGTTTAGGGCTAAGGTGGCTTCTACAAATCATACTGGTGCAGTCCTACTCATTGAAGTGAAAGAGACAGAAAGGGGGTGAGAGAAAGCATGCATCTGTTTCTGCACAACTAAGCATTCACACATGACTGCTCCGTATGTAATCTTGCATTTCCAGACATCGTTTTGTTAAACTCAGGGCGGTTAGTAGAAAATCTTATCAAGCACTCGGGGTGGCAGGAACTCCACAAAACTCTCAGGCAGTCGCTCATTCCACCAGCAACCTTGGACAAATAAAATCCCCTCCAGGTTTATGTATTTGGTGCTTTGTAAAAAATCGCAGTTTAATGCAATCAGTTTAAAGAGAGACTGGATTGTACTCACACACGTATGTGTATATATGTATATATATATTCATACACACATGGGTAGAAAACCAGAAACTAGATTTTAACAAGGATCAATTGGAGTTTATGTAATTTACTTGGAACCTGTATGTAAGATTGAACTGCAGCCACTTTACTTTGGTAAAGTTCCTTCAGAATAAAAATTTCATTTCTGTGGGGAAAAAGGAATGATATTATGGTGAATTTCACCCAATATTATTTCCTAGTCTTTCACTGTATAATTTAACTCTCATCTCTTAGAATTGCCCCAACTCATCTAGGCAAGGCAAATGTTGCTTAACAGCGTGGTCTTGAATCTGACCATCTACTGACCATTGGAAGCAGGTTTGATGTGTGCAGAAAAACCCTCACCTGAGAGCAGAGTAAAGGTTACAGAATAGATGCCGTTTTCTTTCGTGGCAGCTGTACTCTCCGTGTAGGTGATGTCGACCTGAAACTTAACCGGCTTCTGGAAGACTGTAGGGCCGGCCGTGGACTTGTACTCTGCTCGAAAACTTGTTTGGGAGATGACACTGTGACTCAGGCTGGGGATCTGGGAGAGAAAGATAGAAAATGACAAAGAGGACAGACAAGTATAGAACGAAAAGCTAAGTAACAAAAGCAGGTAATGGGATTATAAATAGAAAAAAGAGATGTCATCTTCTATCGCCCTACCATGCAAATGACAGAATGAATGAGGCCTCATTAAAATACCCTCCACATACCATGAGCCCCAGTCTAAACTTTAAGAAGATTAATGCCTCAGGGAGTACCCATGTGTGCCAGAGAGACTTAAGCTAATATAATCTGGAGTCATCCAAAACATGGCACTCTTCCTCCAAAAAAGATTTTTTATGCCCAACGAACAGGTGAGCTCGGAAATTGTCACGTTTTGCCACAGTGCTGAGGAGGCTTTGACATTCCATTAATGTGAGTGTGCTCTGAGGTATAATTCCTCTGATTCAGCTGCCAATCTCCTGTCTGGAATACCAGCTTGCGTAACCCCGAGTAGAAAATAGCTGCCTTCGGGGAAGGGGAAACAGATCTGACATTGAACTGCGGCAGCAAAGCTGCATTTACGTAGACTTTGTTAAATCTTAGTAGGGTGAGGATGGGTTCTGTTCAGTTATGTTCAGTGAATATCAACTAATTCAGCTGCATGTTTGGACCAAACTGGTTATTTTTATGTTACCCCCTCCTCACCATTACTAAAGTAAAATACAGACACAATCTACAAGCATCTCATGCATTGAACTCGTGTAATTAAGCCTGCACTCATTTTAAGTCATGATGTAGAAGCAAATTTATCTGTATAGAAATTATTAATGCTGGGTGTATTTTATATTGATATGTATGTACATGTGTATGCACATAAACATATCCTCATTGTAATTAGGTACATTTTGAAGCAGTATTTAATGTCTTGCACCAATTAGAGGCAGCAGACTTATTCCTTTCTTAAGTACGACAATAATGCTCTAAAATAAATAATGAGCTGAAATTTAACTATGAATACAAATGGTTCACTAAAATACAAATTAAATAGTAACCACCCCCACATCCACACCTACTCAAACACCAAACACAAATAGAGATGCAGAAAGCGGTGACAGACCAACGAGTGTTACGCTTACCGAAAGGAAGGCTTGTACGATGTCTGCCTTGATGGAGCTGAGAGGTTTGTCTTTGATGACAATAAAGATCTGCTCTTCTTTTTCCAAGTTAATGAAGTTACCAAACCAGGATTTTTTGGCAAGTCTAAGAGAAAGAAAAGTAAGTTATTCCAGTTCTTCATTTTCAAAACCTTGGCATATTTAAAGGTTACGACACTACCCCAAAGTCTTGTTCTTTCCATTTATCAGAATTCTTTGTTCTTCAGTGTCAACACAAATGCTCACTCAATGGTGAGTTTATTACTTTCATTTTTCTGTAGTCGAGTTAGCGTTAGCTCGCATGACCGGCTCCGTGATGCTGGCTTTCCTTCAGTATGAGCGCCACAAGCTTCACGTCACATGACTAAGAAAACGTAACGGGATTGGCTGGGTGTTGGACACCACAATCCATTGCTAATGTCTGTGACCTGAAGTAACCCTTGCCTTTTTACACTGAATTTAGACGCCGAATTTAAGACAGTGGAATAGAGCCAGTTGAATCCCAGGAGGCTGAAAATATTGAGTTTGAATTTTGAAAGGAATTTTTTTATATGCATATTTTTTTAACACTGAAAAATTAAACTGAAAAATAAGTATTGAAAATGTAATCATGTTGGAATAGTAATGTGAATTTTTAGCTTGAAGAGAAAATAAATGAAATTTCAACTGTGTACAATGATAATGAATTTTTTTTGGTCGAAAATGTGTTCTGAATATATTTTAACACTGAAACAGTAAGTACAAACATACAACATTTAAATTTCAGTGGCATTTTTAATTAAAATCCCAGCGTCACATATTTGCTTCCATAAAATGCCACTTTTAACATAATCCATCAAGAATGTCAAAAGTCTAAGAGACAGCACTACAAACACACAATCAGTAAAAAGACCATTTTACCAGTCAACACTAAAGTAGATGGGATTTGAAATATGGCAGCTGAGGTTTAGTTAAATTTAAGGCTCTTTTTGTTAAAGAAATTCGATTTTATGTTTAGGTTCTGTTTAATGTGTCTCTCAGTAACGATTCAGATTGCTTCAGACAATAAAGAAAAATAATTTTGACATTTCTCCACTCAGCAAATTGAGTAGCAATATGCCTGGATAGGGAAGATCCACATGAAATATATTGATTAATTTCATTGTCTTAATTAAGTATCTAATTTTGGTATTGTGCAACTTAAATATAGCGCACTTTGGCCTACATTTGAAGTTAAATCGCTAACAATTAAAATATATAAACATACAAACATACTTTGCATGAAATACATCCTTTAAAATTTTTGATTTGCAGGGTTTTTTTTTCAAAGCAGGTGGATATGAGGAAACCATACAGCAGTCAGACAGCCAGCAAAGCAACCATATCTAGGCCAACCTTGAGTAATCAGGCCCACAGGAGTTTGGCAACATCACACAAGCTGACACCCCAACCATTTCCAACACCCTTCCTCATAAACCACTACCCTTATTACCATGAAACATCTCCAACCTACACAGAACCTAAGGTCATCCCCGCAAACTCAGCAGGCAAATATCAAACATTTATGGATGCTACATTTTTCAAATAATTGTGCTATCAAACCAGTTTAAATCAGGCACCAAAAGGCTTGCAGGTTATGAATACGTATATCAGGAGGTCTCCACTTACTCTGGGGAAGACTCTGGTGTGAGACTGGACATCTCCTCTTGCGTAGGAACTGTGAAATGCAGAAACAGTAAATCAGTAGGGCTGTACTAGATCAGTAGAAAGAGCATTAAAAACACTCAATAAAATTTAAAATCTATTCTAAAATAGACAGGCAGTGGATGGAGGTTACAGCAGGGCTGATGTGCTCACATCTGGAGGATACATAAAACATGTACAGCAATAGTTTGGACTAACTGAGCAATGCAGCATAAAAAGTGTTACGGTAGCTATGTTTACATGGAGATCGGATCGAAGACCTTATCAGATGAAAAATGTGTCATATAAACATGTCAGACTGAACATTCTAATCTGATTCGGTCTGATTGGAAAGAAATTTCATTCCTGTTGAGGTGTTTTTTTCCGATCACCATTCTGATTGGTACACACCCATTCTGATCTTTGGAGTAAAATTATCTGCCCTGTGCATGTGTGCAACATCAGGGTGACATCTTTCTCTTTACAAATCTTTATTCACTGGCTGCTGGTCCTCTTTGGTTGAGGAAGTGGATCTAAATGTAATCTATAGATTAATATACCATGCTGCCCTCCATCCCTGTAGCAAAGGAGCATTAGCTAAGGTAGCATGATGTGACGAGGGTCCATTGTAGGAAAAAAAAAAAAAACACATCAAAAGACACGACTGAAGATTCAAAGATGTGAATGTGGGGGGAAGGAACAAAGAGTAACTAAAGTTAAGGATGAGCAGACAAGTTTGGGTTGGTTTACAAAACAGGCAGCTGCTTATTCTACTACAACTAAAGCATTTCGTAAAATGAAACAGTTCTGCACACGCTCAGAATTGATCTGAACACTTTGGACATGCATACACACGTCATAATTGGATCATTTTATTTAGTGTCCATTTAAACAGAGATGTTCCAAACTTCTGATCAACAAAGATTTAGATCAGAATGAAGAAAGTTCATGCATGTTAATGTAGCAAATAACTGGTATCATTGTAAAAGAGAATATAATTATAAATGGGGGTTTTTCTGGTCAAATAAAGGTTAATTAAATGAATGAATATTGAAATTTATAAAGGAAGTGTTCCGAAGATCAGCACAGTTTAAAAAACATTTTGATAAAAGGTTTTATTTAACAAATAAATCAAATTATATGTGGAGCTGAAATGTTTTGGCAAAAATCATCCCCAGATTTATTATAATGTGATTTCATTTAACAGTTAAGAGAGCACTGAAATCAATGGTGGCCATTTTGGCCAAACAAGGATATCTATTGTTCAAGGATGCTTAGAAATTTTAGGTTTAATCATTGATTTACTGGGGAGATAAAGAGATATTGTTGACTGGGCAGATAAATCTTGAGATCATCTGCATAGCATAGGAAAGAGCTGCAGGTGGCATTACGAAGAAAAAAATGTAAGGGGAAAAGTATAGTATTCTATGACACCAACATGAAAGAGGAACATTGGAGGAAGAGACAGTTTTATTATTTTTAATTGTAAAGGCCCTGTGTGTCAGATAGGATGTAAACAAAGTGTTAAGCAATAGATACCAATATGGAGGCCTACGCAAGACAGAACAGAATGATCGTCAACGGTTACTATTAGTTCTAGCAGCAGCAGGACGATTAAACACCTACCATCAATGGATAAAACAATGTCATAGCGTACATTTAGTAAGGCAGAACCTATGCTATGTAGCAGTTTAAACCACACTTATTTTTTTCAAAAAAAGGAAAAAAAAATAATTGCTAAAAACTTGGTAAAAGAGAGAACGTATTTTTTTAAGGAGGGGTGTTAGAACTGTATGACAGTTGATAGGAGCAGGCCAAAGTAATACACAAACTTAAGATTCAAGGGACAATTCTGATTGATGCAACTCTAGCTCAAGGTGAAAATGAGTACCTTGGAGTTTCCGACGGTGGAAGCGTGGAGACCCCAGGAAGCTGTTTTTGATGGAGTTGAGGCGCGTCCTCCAAGGCATGCCTCCAATGGACGGGCTTGGGGGTGGCGTGGGAGTCGGAGTTCCTGCAGGGCTGTCCTTAGGAGTGTGTACTGGAGTGCCTTTTGGGGTTGGGAGGGGGCTGCCTCGAGGGGAAGGGTGAGGGGTAACCTGTATGAGGGGGATAGATTTGGGTGGGTGGTCAGTAGATGGAGAAGGAAAAGGTGCCACAGGGTGAAAGTGGTGTAGCCTGATAGGTGACATGGGTGCTACTGGACTGAAGGGAACCGAGAGCTGGGAGTTGGCAGCATAATGGGAGCGGCGTACCTGGGGGCTGTTTGGTATGGGACCACAGGAGATGGGGGAGGAGGTAAAGGGAGAAGTTGAGGATGAAGAAGTAGGAGTAGGAGGCACAGAGGTAGAGGGGGGCTGCAATGGCAGCTGGCAGGGAGTGGATGGTTCCGATTTGGCAGCAGGTGCTGGATCAGGGGATGTTTCAGGAAGAGGATTTGATCGTGTGGCTTGTAAAGGCTTTGGGGCAACTTTGGGCTTGGCGGGGAGTGTCTGTGTTTTGTTGAGTGCTCCTGGCAGGGGCTCACTGTTTGGAGCCAAGGAGTTAGGTGTGGATATGCGTGGGCCTGTGCGATTTGGAAGGGGTTCAGGGGAAGGACACGGGCTTGTGTTAGGGGACTCAGAAAAGTCCGGGGACTGAGGCGGTACACAGAATTTTCTGATAGGCTGGATTCAGAAATAGGCATTAATAGGGACACACAGGACAACACAGCCAAGAGGAAGAACAGGTGGATGTTAAAATAAAAATCAAAACACATGGGGGATGGATGCAAACACAGGCAACAGCCAGACAAAGGTTAGAAGGGAAATGGTGGGAGGGGAAATTGAGAATTTACAAGACAAAAACAACAACAAAAAATTATGACATGAACGACTTACATCAAACAAGACAAAAGTAAACTGACATGGGAGAAAAAAAAAATACAAGCAACATAAAGTAAAGTCCAACAGAGACATAAGAAGATTGGCTTCAATTGCATAAAATCAACAAAGCTCTGGCAGCTGAGAAAAGCAAGCAAACAAAGATAGATGCAAAAGACATAAGGCCAGCTGTTAAAGTCTGGACTGCCTCAACAACAAGCTGCTGGTAGCATCTATACGGTGGGATCCCTGGGTTCCTAATAGCTTTATTGATCTGTTTGACTTTTAATGCTGTGACCAGAGAGACTAAACTCCAGCATTTGCCTTGGACACCAACCCTTTCTCCAGAAATAACTCCAAATAGAGCCTCCTGTGGAGAGCACAATCCCAGTGATCGGTACATCTGAGAAATCAATTTCCCTTTCAGATCAGCCTCAAAGAAGCCACGTGGTGTTTGTCTGTGTAAGGGGGGTTTGTCTTTGGATCCTGGATAATCTTGAGCCTTCTAAGGTTAGTCAACTGGAAAAGTTTACTGCATGCTCACCAGCTCTGAGCAAGGACAGTGGGATTTTCTGAAGCATTCTCTGATGTGGATTTCTAAAGAGCTCAGAATGTAGAAAAAAGAAGCTGGGATAATGTAAGTGCAGAGGATGGAGAGGTTGGATAAGAGTCTTCAAGTTTGGGAAAAGTTTGTTTTAACATACAGTCTCCAAGTTATACCTCGAGTTATAGAGAACAGCCTTATAAAGTGAATGTCTAAGCGTTGAATAAAAAGGCTAAAGTCTTGTCTAACAATGGATGTTACAGTAATCATAGAAGATGCTAAATTTAGTAAAAGAAAATCCTAAATCATAAAATAAGGTAAGCTAAATGCTGCATTACAGCAACTGCCTGGGTGTTTGAATTTTACCCATAATGCAGAGCCATGAACTCCCTAAAAGCATCATACAATGCATTGTAAAAAGACAAATCTGATAAGTTGGATAGCCCAATAAAATGCAGCTACTTTTTCTTTTCTTTGTCAGTGTCCAAGAAGAACAGGGTTCTGATGCAGGAAGCATGCATTCACGTAAAATATCTGCTTTGAAATATTTTAAGCACAGCCTGCAATGCGCAAAAAATTAAAGCTGCATCAAAATAAATTAAATTGTTGGACCAAAACTCACTGAAATTACACGGAAATATGACCTTAACACAAGGACCAGAGGTACTTTGATGCTTTTCATGACACTGAGCTTTTATGAGTTAAATCTTAAATTATTAATTTCTTAATGATAAATAGAATAGAAAATCCCTTTTTCGTCCCACAATGAGGAAATTGTAGTGTTACAGCAGCAAAAAGGTTATAGAAGAAGTGGTCACACAATGTGGACCTTAGAAAAGTGTATAAAAATAACAGATAAGAACATAAAACAACACAGTATTGTACTGTACAGAGTTTTTACAAAATAAATTGTAAGCTACAAATTTAAGAATTTCTCTCTGCCGTTGACTTTTAGTATGAAAGCTGTGTTCTTCTCATACAGGTGCTGGTCATAAAATTAGAATATCATGAAAAAGTAGATTGATTTCAGTAATTCCATTTAAAAAGTGAAACTTGTATATTATATTCATACATTACATACAAACTCATATATTTCAGATGTTTATTTTGTTTAATTTTGATGATTACAAATGACAACAAATGAAAATCTCAAATTCATCATATCAGAAAATTAGAATATTGTGAAAAGGTTCAAAATTGATGGCCCCTGGTGCCACACTCTAATCAGCTAATTAACTCAAACCACCTGCAAAAGCCTTTAAATGGTCTTTCAGTCTAGTTCTATAGGCTACACAATCATGGGGAAGACTGCTGACTTGACAGTTGTCCAAAAGACGACCATCAACACCTTGCACAAGGAGGGCAAGACACAAAAGGTCATCGCTAAAGAGGCTGGCTGTTCACAGAGCTCAGTGTCCAAGCACATTAATAGAGAGGCGAAGGGAAGGAAAAGATGTGGTCGAAAAAAGTGTACAAGCAAGAGAGATAACCGCACCCTGGAGAGGATTGTGAAACAAAACCCATTCAAAAATGTGGGGGAGATTCACAAAGAGTGGACCTCACCTCAACATATCCCACCTGCTTCCTAGCTGTTTCCCAAACACTTAAAGGCTTAATTATATACCCCTACCAGCCACTCTTAACACCCTCTTCTCCCTCGGCTCATCAGCTCCCAGTCTGTCTTGTTACCGTCACGCCTGGATGACTGCAAGACCCCGTCTGACTGATCGGCTACTGAGAAAGCAGCTTAATAAAACTCTAAATAAAACACTTTCAGTTTTAAAGTCAGAATATCTGCAGGTATTAAATGAAATTGGATTTGTTTGACATTATAGAGAAAAAAGTATCCTATAATGAAAGCAGACTACTGGTTTAATAATAAAATAAAAAAAATCCCAGATGTAAGATAACTGAACCTATTTAATGCACACATCTGATGTCCTACACCTTTAAATACAAAGAGAAAAAACTCTCTTTATCAGAGATACTCCTCACTTACACAATGAAGTGCCTGCACCTCTATTTATATTCATGACTGGTATTGAGCCTTGCATCAAGTCGGAACAGATGCAACCCTGCTGAGAATAAAAATCACAGCAGGAGTAAGATCACTCAATAACTCAGGATAACATAGTGGCACTGATGAGGTTTTTAACAGATTGTTAATTGATTCTTGTTTTTGATTCAGACCACCAAAAGCAAATATGCTGTTGCTCACAAGCAAATTCTTTACACATGTGGTGATTGCAAAATGTAGACATAAGGGATTAACTCCAGATAATCTGCCTGACGTTTTACCAAGGACTACGTCATTCGACTTGTTTCTAAAATGATTCAGACGAGGGGAGGATGAGAACTGACAAAGTAAAAGGGAGTGTTTACATAATCCAGATGACTTTAAAAACACTGGTCATGTTTACAACAGCAGAATAATTATTTTATTTGTAAATGAACCAAATCTTTCCTTCAATTCAGTTTAATTATACACGTCATCTCAAGGCATTTTACAGAGACAATTCAAAAAGATAATATAGTTGTTTTCTATCAAAGGAAAACCAGCTGATTGCATTGACTCATTTACAGCATGTATTAAGTGTCAGTGGAGAGGAAAAAAACTCCCTACACTTACCATGTTAGAAAAGGTAACATACAGGTGCTGGTCATAAAATTAGAATATCATGAAAAAGTAGATTGATTTCAGTAATTCCATTTAAAAAGTGAAACTTGTATATTATATTCATACATTACATACAAACTCATATATTTCAGATGTTTATTTTGTTTAATTTTGATGATTACAAATGACAACAAATGAAAATCTAAAATTCATCATATCAGAAAATTAGAATATTGTGAAAAGGTTCAAAATTGATGGCCCCTGGTGCCACACTCTAATCAGCTAATTAACTCAAACCACCTGCAAAAGCCTATAAATGGTCTTTCAGTCTAGTTCTATAGGCTACACAATCATGGGGAAGACTGCTGACTTGACAGTTGTCCAAAAGACGACCATCGACACCTTGCACAAGGAGGGCAAGACACAAAAGGTCATCGCTAAAGAGGCTGGCTGTTCACAGAGCTCAGTGTCCAAGCACATTAATAGAGAGGCGAAGGGAAGGAAAAGATGTGGTCGAAAAAAGTGTACAAGCAAGAGAGATAACCGCACCCTGGAGAGGATTGTGAAACAAAACCCCTTCAAAAATGTGGGGGAGATTCACAAAGAGTGGACTGCAGCTGGAGGGAGTGCTTCAAGAACCACCACACACAGACGTATGAAAGACATGGGTTTCTGCTGTCGCATTCCTTGTGTCAAGCCACTCTTGAACCACAGACAGCGTCAGAAGCGTCTTGCCTGGGCTAAAGAGAAACAGGACTGGACTGCTGGTGAGTGGTCCAAAGTCATGTTCTCTGATGAAAGTAAATTTTGCATTTCCTTTGGAAATCAAGGTCCCAGAGTCTGGAGGAAAAGAAGAGAGGCACTTCATCCACGTTGCTTGAAGTCCAGTGTAAAGTTTCCACAGTCAGTGATGGTTTGGGGTGCCATGTCATCTGCTGGTGTTGGTCCATTGTGTTTTCTGAGGTCCAGGGTCAACGCAGCCACATACCAGGAAGTTTTAGAGCACTTCATGCTTCCTGCAGCTGACCAACTTTTTGGAGATGCAGATTTCATTTTCCAACAGGACTTGGCACCTGCACACAGTGCCAAAGCTACCAGTACCTGGTTGAAGGACCATGGTATCCCTGTTCTTAATTGGCCAGCAAACTCTCCTGACCTTAACCCCATAGAAAATCTATGGGGTATTGTGAAGAAGAAGATGCAATACACCAGACCCAACAATTCAGAAGAGCTAAAAGCCACTATTAGAGCAACCTGGGCTATCATAACACCTGAGCAGTGCCACAGACTGATCGACTCCATGCCACGCCGCATTGCTGCAGTAATACAGGCCAAAGGAGGCCCAACTAAATACTGAGTGCTGTACATGCTCATACTTTTCATGTTCATACTTTTCAGTTGGCCAACATTTCTATAAATCCTTTGTTTTTATTGGTCTTCAGTAATATTCTAATTTTCTGATATGATGAATTTGAGATTTTCATTTGTTGTCATTTGTAATCATCAAAATTAAACAAAATAAACATCTGAAATATATGAGTTTGTATGTAATGTATGAATATAATATACAAGTTTCACTTTTTAAATGGAATTACTGAAATCAATCTACTTTTTCATGATATTCTAATTTTATGACCAGCACCTGTACATGAGGCCCCACATGAGTGAATGCAAAACTACTTGTTCTGTCCTATTTCAGTTCCACAATGCTTATTACAGGCTTCTCTCAAATTGGTGGTCTTCTTACTCATTTTGCCAGTTTAGGTAACTATGTCTTGGTAAGGTGCAGTCGGTCCATAAGCCTTTTATTTTTAGAAGACTGATTAAAAAGTTCTTTCTGATATTTCAAAGCTTAAGATTCTGTTTTCTAACCCCAATTATAAACTCATTCTAACTTATTTCAAACTTATCAGGGATATGCAAGTCTCCATGATGCTGTTTGACGCATTCACAGAATAACCATTCTTACATTGAGCTTAAATTACACATTGGGCTGTTGAACTGGATATTATTTCACGGTATAAGAGTAACAGGGATAAGTTTGTGTTTGCCTGTAAATAAATTCTATTCTACAGCAACACTTCTAGTTGCAATATGGAATATTGTATAGTGTATACAATAGAAAAAGCTGCTTTACTTTTCTTGCAGACAAATTTGGCAATAACACAACAGCAATAATGTGGTATCAGCAGAAGTTGGGTGGTCGTTAACCAGTATGAGTGTGTTATAGAGAAGGTGAGCGATTGTGTCTGAGCCTTATGACTTACCCGTGGGCTGCTGAGGGGGCTGGTGGATAGGCCAGAAGAGGCTCCACTAATAGACCGCGACCTGTGGCAAAAACAAGCGACAACACACAAAGGAGCAAAGGTAATTTAAAGGATCAGCCTGTGGCTTGTAACGTGTTTCAGTAAACATATGGGGAGGTGAGAGGCTGGTCTACATCCTACGTATTGTTTAGAAGGCACAGCAGCACATGGTAGCTCACAGATAATGCTGTAACTGGATGTTTTCATACAGTGTTTGAAAATCTAACCTCTTTGTTATTTTTTTTTTCTTTCGACAATAAAAGATTAGGCGTCTATGTTTGAGGTTGTTTGGGATTACAGGATTTTCTTTTCTGTTTGATACTAGAATACCCAATTAAATAAATCAAAAGAAAACGAGGAGGAGATCTTGGTACATTTGCTCAACATTAACTAAGAATGTGACCAACTTAGCAATAAAGAGTCTAGAGCAAAACGTACCTTCATCTTTAACTGCCCATTTCCAATTTTATTTGTAGAAATAATGAATACAATTGTACATTACATAAAGCAACTTTTATGTATGTAAACATCCTTAAAGAATATTAAGAAGGAATCTCTTTTTATTCTTGCATTTTGCACAGAAATAATTCCAGTCATCCTAACAGAAGACCAATAGGGAAGATTTTTTTCTCAATTATATTCAGGTATTAGGATGACAAAATATTGCATTGTTTTCAAACAGCGTATGTAAATATCTGCTTACAACAGGCTAAGCCCGCTACAACAGCAACAGCACTAACTTGAAAATCAGCATTATTAACATTGACTCCCAGCAATTAGTTGCACACCACTTAACCTTTGGATTCGAATATATTGATCTTCAAAATCCATGGACAAATTTCATGGCCAAACATTCAAACTAGTTTTCCTTTTATTTGCACATTAATAATAAAACAAACAAATTGGAGGGTGTTTATGCCTTCAGGCCAACATAGTATCTGGAGATGCAAAATAAAGAGGAACATTTGGTTGTGTGCCATTTGTCATGTTTTTCATTTTCCTCACAGATGCCGTCAATAACCCCCAATGAGTGGAGTCTTGCTCAGAAATGAACAATCACAGCCCAATCTGTCTCCATCAAGTGCACACATTTACGCACACAAACACAAAAAAAACAGGCGCCTGTCAACACTTGGAAACACCAGCTGCTCACTGTCACAACACTGTCCCTTTCTGTCATTTGGCCTAATAATACCCCCCCCTCCTCCTTTCCCTCGGTCGCTCTTCATCTCTGCATCTGAGCGCGGAGGCATTGGTGCACATGTGGATTGATATGCATTGTTGTTTCCCTTTGGTAAAATAAATAAATAACATCAGTTTTACTCTTCAGTAAAAGGAGCAGACACACGACAGAAGTTAAAGCTACCATGAGTGAAGGGTAATTTTAGAAACACCCACTGCAGAGTTATTTTTGTTCATCTTCCACTGCCCATTTGCAGAGAAAAAAATGGTTTGCACGCATTTAAGCAGACGTGAGTAGGCGATGCCGAGATCATGTTGGCTGGGATTTCTTGTTTCACTGAGCAGCTGACCAGACAGTTATCATTTACATCTAGGCCCAGCGGTCCACTGAGACATATCCACGGGTGCTCACCACTAGATTGCGTGTAAACTTAATCTAAATACGGCCAGAACTTCCGGCCATTATGAGCATATTGTTCTGAGGCATGTTGCATCTGTTAGTTTTGGCCGAGCAGGTCTATAAAGCTTATGTTACAGATGGTTATGCTGTACAGTAATGGGTTGTCAGAGGCTTTCCACTGCTTCACAGTAAAGATGAATTATTGTCGTTGAGGGTTTAATTTACAATGAACAGCACAAACAATTTGGGAATCATTTATCATGTATTAGAAAACCACAACACTACATCATTGAGTCACACTAGAGAAGTTGTTGGATCAACAGTTGCATGTTCGTGTGCATTGATTCTCGTTTGCTCTTAAGCTGTGCAAACTGAAATTGTATTCATACACATCAGCAGATACTGGTTTTAACAGTCAAATGAGAATTTCTTACACGATATTATCTACTTTGGAAATGTGTATGAAGGAATATTTATGAATTGCAAGAAAATGAATCTGAGACTAAATGATTTTACTTTACAGCTTATCCAAACTGATGAGTGTCTTAACATTTCAATGTGTACCTTCTATGGATCTCATACCGGTATTTGGCAAATATTGGTTGGCATAAGCTGTGATGTCATTGCTACAAATTTTAGTAATAGCAAAGCAAACATAGTTGGAAACTACATCATCGGAGCATTCTTCATTTCTTCTTTCTTTTAAGCCAAGAGGATTTCAAAGCAGATTTCAAACTAAAATGCACAACTTAAATAGATCACGAGTAGGTCCACCGTTATTAAGTTTAAATGCTTGGTAATACTATTGGAGAATTATGACTTAATTAAAATGTTAAAATTTCTGATATGTAGTCGACGATTTTTAAATTCCCCCCGGACAATTTTTTAGGTATGAAAAGTAGGACCGTGAAAAGGAGGACGTCTGATCACCTCACCATATAAACAATTTGATGTTTCAGTGAGTGAGTGCTTGTTGCTGTGATGCATCTTTGCTCAGCAGCTTCACTCGTAAACCAACCAATCAGCGCACAGCTCATCTAAATACTCATGAGCATACCATAAAAGGAAGAAAACTTGTCGGTTCATTCTGGGGCTTATAACCAGGCTTGCATTAGGGCTTATAGAATAGCAAATATGCTATTTTCAACCCAACCAATGCTACACACCCTATTCAGAGAACTTAAGGACTAGCAACAAATACCCTATATAATCATTCTATGACCCCTTTAATATAACATTGTCAAATTTAACTTTACTTTATCCTGAAGAACTATTTATTTTGATACGTGGTGAACAAGTAGGTACAGTTATGCGTCCAACCACAAAGAAATTAATAGTCTGAATGAAACAAATTATTTTGATAGTTTTTATTTTTTTTAATAATTTTTATGAAAATGTATATTTTTAGAATGAGAATGAGCTCAAATGAAACAAGACTAATGAGTCTATTTTTAAAATATAAGGAATATAAAGTAGAGATAAATGCCACAAAAAATGCAAGGAGTAGAAGTAAAAGATTGTCTAATAATAAATAAATGTAAATTACAGATACCCAAAATTTCTACTTAAAGGGATAGTTCGGGATTTTTGACATGAATCTGTATGGCAAAAAGCTAGGAGCTAGGCGGAACGAGACATGCATCTGGCTGTTGTCAGGTTAGTAGGCCCTAGCTGTCAGGTCATGGTGTTGCGCGCACTGATACGAACAGAGAGAAAATAGGACCAAGTGATAACGACGTGTGACTTTTTCCACTACAATGTTTTTGGGATGCAAAAATATCACTCTTTTGAACACATAATGTTTTGGGAAGAGAAACGTTTTATTTCGCTGGGTCTAGCAAACCTGTCGGACTACTTTCGGCTTGACCAAAGCTGGACGAGAACTCTGCTCACAGGATGCTGCCAGGGGTAAGTCAGTGTGATTGCATGCCACTGGTGATGGGGATGCCATACAGATTCATGTCAAAAATCCCGAACTATCCCTTTAAGGTAACAAAGTATTTGTACTTTGTCACTTGACACCTCTGTGTAGGACTGATCCTGCATATGACAGAACACACGGTCAATACGTAGTGTAGCATCAAGTGTGTTTCTTTGCATAACGTCTGTTATGCAAAGAAAATTGTGGTGCCAAACTACCCTTTCCCATACTCTCTAAACTAGTCCAAACACACAAAGCTCTACAGATACTAGCCATTGGGAGCAGATTAAAAACATATCAGTCTTTAAGCATTTTGCCTAAGAGTCAGCCATGTTTGATGGAGCTTTAAATGACATGCTCTGTAACCATTTACTCTCTGGCTAAAAGAATGAGCAGAGAAAATTACAATACTACGAGAATCTGTTATTTCAAAGTTTAACTTAGTTTTTTTATTGTTAAAATCAGTTTTTAGCTGTAAGGTACTAAATAGATGTCTAAATCTTTCCTCAATGTTAACACTATTAAAAAGGTAAGGCAAATCTAAGTATCCCTTTAAAACCAATGTTCAGAGGCAACTGCAGTTGTATAAAAGGCACAAATTGTAAAAATCTCAATATCTTCTCACTCAATCTGCAGTTGTACCTCCCTCGGGTTCTCCCACCTAACTTTGCACAAAGGAATTTACCTTGAGCAAGGTCAATTCTATGCCCCAATATAAGTTGTAAAAAGTTGCCTTTAATTACTCCCCGCTTCAACTCCAAAGAATAAATGTTGAATAAACATTAAGGATAAATGCAATAATTAAGACTAAAATAGAAGTAGGAAAAATAGCTTAAATAATACGAGACTGAAAAATCATACTGGAAAAATTTGTCTTTAACTCCACTTTCTTTGTCACCAACTATTCTTCCATTGGAGCTTCTAAACATGAGTAAATATTAATGAAAGTCAACATATGGTTTTAATTCATTTCCTCCTCTGAGCCCTGAAACCCCCCTGAGGACTCATGCATTAATATTCACAGCTCTGCAACGCAGCACAACCCCTGCAGATTTTGTCGAACATATCACTGTAAAAGTGTTTTATTTTTGCTCGTTTTAACCTCTTACATAAATTTAAGTCTCTAATGACCAGGGGATCCCAACTTATTAACACCATTTAAAATACTTTAAAATCAGATTATATAAGAAGACTAGAGCATATCTCTAAGAAAAAAAAAATCATTGATATTCTCTTCTTCACAGTGCAGCACTTTTCCATTTTTCATTTACATATCATTAACCTTCCTTCATTTCTCCTGGCATGTTGTTAGGATCCAAAGTTAAATCAGTGGAATTTATCATGCTTTAGATATATTTTTAGTGCAGCTTTAGCATTACATGAATAAAACAGACAGGCAAATGAGGATGTAGTCATTTCTACTAATATGCAACTTGGCCAATGCTGCATTTATCTCAAATCTATTCAATTACACTTTATAAAACATATCAGTTTGCAATATTTAAACAAAATACTGTATAGCTAACTTTCCAATATTTAAATGAATGTCATTTAAAATAAAACTGCTTCCTGTCTCTTTCACCCTTTTACACAGGCGGAAACATATCATGTCAAAACACATGTTTCAAAGCCGGTCCTCTCTCTCTGACAGCCTCTGATCTCAAGTTCTACAAATCTTCTGAGCTGTCGACAAAAGTTTGCTGTCAGGGAAAGATAAGGTTAGGTTCAGAGAAAGTCAGACAAATCTTTGCACATTACGCTGCTCTGTACATTTCTCCACCGGCATCAGTATCATATACACACACAAACATCAGCATGATCATACAAGGCAAAAACGAGCACAAGATAAAGGATGGAAAAGTTTGTTTTTAAGGAGGGAAAAAAAGAGATTTGATTTGATTTGGAGGCAGAGGGGCTGCGGTATCACAACCTCCCTCCTCCTCCAATTTATAAAGACTGATAGGAGGCAGAGGAGGCCAGGCAGAGCAAAACTAGCAGCTTTTCCACATTAGCATAGCAATTCCGCACTAACAGCAGGATCATTTGAGAATGAAGGTCAGCAATACACAAGGGACAACTGGAAAGAGAGAGAAAGGTGTTTCTCAAAAAAGGAAAGGGAGAAGCTCCTGGAGAAAAACTACATGGAAGGGGACAACTCAAGTTAAACTAGCGTAGAAGAAAGATGCAGACAAGCTTTTTCTTATTTTTGTAAATATAGGATTTGCATATAGACCTATTTTAGATGTTACCATGTAAGATGAAGGTGTGATTTTTGTTTAAGATAAGCACAGATACATATCTCTAACACTTTTAAGTTTTCTTAAAACTTTCCCAGCAAGATTCTGTTTTCAAGTTTCCCTGAGCCCTAAAAGTTAGAGACATGCAAGGAAGATAAATGTAAGGGTTTTGAAAAGGAGGGCTTTTAATCTCAAAGAATTGGGGAATATTTCCAATCAAAAATATTGAAAGTACCACTGTATATATGCAAAAACTCTTTGTTGGTTAATTATACTTAAAAACAATTTGCATATTTTCTGAAAAGTGTGGAGCACATTTATGTTTAGCTTCTCTGAGACAATTATTTGCTAAACTCTGTTGCTATTTTGTTTTAATAACAGCTGGGAGTTTTTTTTTTCATGCACAATTCTTTTGTTTTCCTGACAAAAATTTTTTCCTAATTCCTAGCAAAAAACTCTGGCTTTTTAAATGGGTAAAGAGCTTCTAGCCATTTCCAAGGCTTTACAAAAAAATTGGTTTAGATTTTCCATAGGTTAATTTACTGTGAACAATCAGTTGGTTGCTCTGGTTATACGTTTGGGTTCATTGTCTTGCTGGAAGTTGAACCTCTAACCTTATTTTAAGTCTCTTTAAAATATTCTTAATTATGACAAGCTCCTCTCTAAATAAAACATCCTCACAACATGATGCTGCCACCGCCATGCTTCACCCCAATGAAGATGTATTTAAGGCTTGATGAGGTGATTGATTTCCACAGTAGGAACATAAAATGTAGTTTTAATTTCATCTCACCACAGCCCATTATCCATGTATGCTGAGTCGCCTTTATGGGTTGGGGCAAACTACAGACAGGATTTATTATGGCTGGATTCTGCTTCACTGTTCAATAAAAGGCATATTTGTTGAGAAAAAAACTAAAGTCCTCTCTTTATTTTCCAGCCTTCCAGTTTAGACAGACAGCCATGTATTGTAAGGTTTGCAATTTGACCATAGTCTCGATTTTCAGCATTGAATAGTATTCTTAGAGATTCTCAAAACGCTGAATATTTTTCTTTAGAATTCTCCACACTTTATCCCTGACCTGTCAGCTGAGATTCATTCACATAATTATGATGTTATATGTGTTGTGTAACGAATAGATGCTGTATTAAAATTTTATTTAACCCAATTAAACTTCTCATTGTATTGTGACGATTTAAAACAAGTTGAAGACCTAGGATACCATTTGCAAGAAAGTGTAGCTGGAGCCTCTAAGCTTGAATACATCAGTGGAAAGTTTCTAATATTGGAAATCTATGCCTGAAATGGTTAAATTAGGGTAAAAGTCTGAATATTAAGCAGCTTCTTAACTAATTCAAATGGAAACCAGATTATTCTGGAAGGGCAGGAAGGGATAGAGTTTATGAAACAAAAAAGGAAAAATTTTATGCTTGAATTTGGGGCTACCAAAGGAAAGAGCTTTTTTTTTTTTTTTTTAAGATGAAAGACATTACAATAGATTTAAAACCTATAAAGTGGTTTCCATCTGTGAATCAAACACATCACGGAGTTAGGGGATGGAAACTTTACTGGATGACAACAGGCTTATAAATTAAATGCACTTTATTGCTTTGTCCCCACATCAAAGCCCTTTTCAGCCTTCTACAAGACCGACTTACATTAGTCAGTTTTATGTTATCACTCTCTCTGATGCAATCTTCCCTGCTGTTACAAATGTCACTGCCCCTGAGCACAAATGTGTGGTTTGATGATACACTGGCTGTTGAAATAAGACGTAGAAAAGGATTTTTGAATCAGTGCACTCAGCCTTGTGGGAGTGCGCTCCTGGCATGAGTTCAGCATTTCCAAAATAGCAAAATGGAGAAATGTTCTGCATCTAGAGAAAATGGGACACAGTATGGTAGAACTGATTATGAGGAGAAGCGATAATTGAGCTAATGCCTGAATAAGTGGGGCTGTTGATACTAAGCCTGTGAATTCTAAATGAGCACTGATCTCTAACTTCAGAACTAAATTAATTATGAGCTAAATTTTAAGAAATGACATCCCAATTTTTTTTAATTTTTTTTATACTTAATCACAAATTAAATAAAGAATCTCTGCATCTTTTTTCATGTTGTTGCATGGGTATGGAGCGAGTTAAGGTTAAAGCATGTGGAAGTGAAGGCAGGTGAGTACCTTTCTTCTTTGCTGCATTTTGTTCTGGCGTCTGGAATATCCAAGCTTTTACTGTACACTGATTTACTATGATGAGACAGAAGAAAAAGTAAGCAGACAGTCAGTCTTTGTTTATGTTTAGGTCTACAGTGGAGTTTGTTGACACTGGATGCAAACTCACTGTCAGAACAGCTGAAACATAAACCATGAAGCGGGATCCTCCAGACAAAAACACTCACACACAGAATAAGCTGTTTCTATGTGTGCAGCCTAATAAATTATGATGTAATTAAACACATAATTTCAATAATTTTCTTAAAAAGGGAAATTCATATCATAGACATTTATCACAGAGTGGTACATTTCATTCAAGCTTTTATTTCGATAAATGTTGACTAGGACTTACAGCTAGTAAAAACCCAAACCTCTGGACAGGAGAACGAAAGATAGCTCATTGATTTGCATCTATCTTGGAATGTACCAAAAAAAAAAAGGGGGTCTTATTGTCCCTCATACAGCAGCACTCCAACTACAGGTCACTCTAGTGACAGCTGCCAGAATTGACATCTTAAAATGTTTTCAGAAAAACTGAGCCAAGGTATTGTTCCCTCTGATTTAAGCATGTTTTACTGGGAACCCAAACTTTAGTTTTTCAAAATAAAAATATCATATATTACATTATAATAGAGAAATATCCGCTAAGAGAAAAGGATTTTGTAAAAATATCAAATTGCTGTAACATAATATTTCACAATTAAAAAATCTTTTTACCGACCCTTCTGTACAGCAATATTACATTTTATGACAAACAGCATATCTTTTCAATAGCTGTAAGCAAAAATCGTCATTATTATCAGAAATAATGGGTAAAGTTTAACTTTTTGAATTTGTAAAATACTAACTCTTCATTAGAATTAGACTACAAACATAGATTCTTATACCTTTAGTCTATATTATACTTCTTTAATTTTCCACATGCATGCGCACCTTTGTCCATGTTGTGTCATGTCGATAGCTCTCCTGGCTGGTACTGGCGAGCCTCCGTCAGTGACACTCAGAACCTCCATGGATTTCCGCTCTGGCCTCCTCTTGCCATGACGGTTCAACATTGGAGAGTCAACCCGCTTTTTTGGTGGGTCTGCATGAAATAGAAAAATTAAATAAAAGGAAATAAAATATAGAGAAAACACAAAACACCTGGTCTGGTAGCTATTATTCGCTGGTATTGGGCAGTTTTCCACATGGCTTGCATAGATGTTAGAGTTTGACTGATGTTTAACACTGATCACATTGACATTCTAACTAATAGAGAATAAGTAATGGCTTCCTTCCAGCCTTTGAACTAATGGCCACTGTATTGACTGTATCACATTCACTGAAGGAGGAGTCTATTTATCAAAATGTCGACACACGCACAGACCGTTGTCACAAAGTAACCTGAGCAGGAGTTTAAAGAGAGCATCTCCATCCCTGTTCAGACTTCTGTGGATGGAAAATCATTCCTATGATGTTAGGCACCAATTTTATTTCATCAGATAATGTTTGACTCAAATCAGATGACAATTTTTTTATTTATTTTTTTAAACCCTGGTGAATCTTTCTATTCAAAGCCGTGGTTTTTATTCATTCTCAATAAACGAAAAGGGTTTCTTCATCTGTTTACTGAACAACCAATCTAACGCTGTAAGAGCTGGAGCAGAACCAATTTTTTTCTGATAGAGGAAAACACTGCAGCTTGGTTAAGCCATAAAAATACTTTCATGAGTTGGAATCCTCGATAAATTGTTCTGCATTTATTTTTTTGTTTGAATAAACAAGAGTTTGAAAATAAAACTCACTGCTTAAAAGGGGTTTTGCTTAAATACATATAAATCTTATGGGTTCATGTGTGGGTTCCAAATTTTGACCAATCTTAAAGGCAAACTTACTTGTAGTTTCAAAGAAAGTTGGACTTTAAAAAATAAGTATTTTTCTCATAGAAAAAAAACTTTTCTACAGTACATATTAAACATTTCCCCTATTGTTCTTCTGATGGCTAATATGATTATAATAATGATTATGATACAATAATTACACTTAGAATGGGCAATAGTACAAAGTTGTAAAACACCTTAGAATAAACAAATCTATTATTAAAATTATAATATTGTTAGAATAATACAATTGAAAGAGCATAGAACTAATTCATCTGTGGCTCTATGGTCAATATAAGAGAAGCATTCAACACATTACAGTCAAAGAAATAATGCATCTAAAGGTTACAAGAAAATGACCTAAAGGAGTGGAGTTGAAAACCACTGATCTAGGATCTAAAAGGTCTAGTGGAGGATTTTTGTGACTTTTTGAAAAGACCCGCCCTCTCCACTTTAAAAAAAAAAAAAAAAAAGTGCACATACACAACCCCCTGCCCGCTCCTGAGAGGGAACGCCTATTAAACGCCTGCGAGAGCATGCACATATTTAAAAGTCGCTATTTGCATCGCTCATACAAGCTTACTTTCCAAAGATGTGCAATTTTCCCCACTATGTCAGACTCACCACCCGGTAAGTGAAAATGGGGAGGAGCACGTAGGGCGGTCTTACGTAAACATATCCCCAGAGGGATAGACAATTAGGAGGACCACTTATTGTCATGATCCACCTGGAAAAAGAACATCCTCCATTATACCTTTACGTAAACAACATTTTTGATTGAAATCATATCCACTGCTAATAATAGCAGAAAGCCTTTCATGCTTTGCTTCTCTTTCTCCCTCTCCCTTTACCTGGAAACCTTGTAATAGTGGATGGAATTGTATAAACTTTAAATACTAGGATTTTTTCAGATAAAGGAGATAGTCATACCCTTAAGAATGAGTCATCATTGGGTCTATAATCAGCATAATGAGTCAAACTATGCAGCTAAATCAACACAGAAAGGAATTAGACAAGAAATCACCTTCCGGAAATCTGTGGGATGAAAACGAGCACTAAATCTGGTGATCAATGTTTTCTGAAGGTTTTTCCTTTGTGAAATATTGTAGGACAAAACAAAATGTCTGTTTTACGAAATGTGGTTAGACAAAGAAAGAACAGCAGGGGGAGCATTTGGTGTAGAACCACCAATTTTGTTTTATCAATTATCTCCTGACATTTATTATATGTAATGAATAAATAAACAAATACAAGTTTAAAGGTTAATTATCCCTGTTTGATTCACTATCAGATACCTGATTTTACACATTGATAAATGGGCTCATAAATGTAGTAGAGGGTGCTTCAACTAGAAAAAAAAGTCAAACAGTTCTTCACCACTTTCATATCTCTTAAATTACCTCTTCAAAAATATTTATCTCTTAATTTAAGAGTTTTTGGGGCATATTTTAGATGATTTTGTCTTAACACAGTGAACATTTATGGTTAGAAACTGAGACATTTATGTTTGTCCCTGTAGGACTCACCAACGTCGTTGCGAGGTGGAAGGTTCTGGTCCTCTTGACTGGGGTACCTCTCCTTACGATCGAGTAACAAGAAGTAGATCATCTTCTCTTGGTTCTCACTGCAAAAGCGCAACATTTAAAATAATAAAAGCAAGTTGTTAAATCTTTTCACACAGGTTGAAATCATAAAATTATCTTAAAGGTTTCCTCGATCTTCGCTGCAATGTAACGGGAATGTTAACAATTCCAATAGAAACATGAGATTAATGTTAAAAATCGTCAAACTGAGATCGATGTCCTTTAATATTTTGTGTGTGCTCAGTAAAACGGCTGATAAATTGTTTCTATATTTAAAAAAAAAAGTTTAGTTTTACAGATCATTAAGCCTTCCCATCATGGTATGCATACTTTTTCTTTAGCCTACTCAGCCATATTTCTAGAGACTGGGTGCTGGTAAGTGTTAAGTCCAATGAAAGTGTCAAAAGATCACAAGTTCGACCTTTACTTTCTTTGCAAATCAGGAAACCTAATGTCTTTAGCCTCTGTGGTGCACTCTCTATGCAAAATACCCAGGGAATAGGCCTCTATAATAAAGACAGATTGGAAAGCTGTGGGAGGCAAAGAGACAAGGACCTGCAACTTCAGCTAAAATGAAGCAGGGGAAGGGAAATGGAGACCACAGATTTTTCTCCCATGCAGCACAATTACAAAATTATCCCAGGAGAAGGAAAGCAAATGGAGTATGGTGAGAGAGTACTTAAAGCAAAGAGGAGAAGCGCTGGGAAATTTAAAAAACTGAAACATTAGTGGGATTATATTTGAAAAGGGGAGAGCTCTTAGAAGAAGGATATGTACAAAAGTGACACATATAGTAAGTCAGCTTCTAGAGCAAACCGGGACAAATTCAGACAAAAAGTATCCTAGCACCAAGCACTGTTAGCACTGTGTGATAACACTTAAGTGATCAATGGTTTCTGACATCTAAAGCGAAAGCTTTATGGGATTTTGTAAGAGCCAGGAAAAAAAAAAATTAAAGTGTACAAGCAAGACCTGAAATCACACCCATAAAGTATCGATCCCTCCCGTTTAAACATCTATTCACTCACTCATCTGATAGCAGGTCTTTAAGAAGTTTGTTTTTGTCTCTGAAGCAGCCCAGGGAGTGCATGCTGTCCAGTACATCTGGGTCGATGTCGTCTGCAGAAGGCAGGCTGCGGATGGTTACCTTTCTGGGAACAGGCTGCTCTGGCTCCGGTTCGTTTTTTCCACCACTAGGAATGCATAAAAAACGAGAATAAAAATAAGATCCTTTTTTGTGATGATTTTTCTCTCCATAAATACAAATTTTTGGTACTGCTTTGTGAGCACCTGGATAATCCTACTGATCCAACAAGGTCATTCATTTGAAGCCTGACTTATTTGGTCAGGCTCAGTTTACAAAATGTTTCCTTAAATTATTATTAATTTTTTCCTAAAACACTTTCAGATATTTCACATTACCCCGTCTTTTCTCTGCCTGTCTCTGAGGAGAACACAGGCAGGCCTTAACATGAAAGCCAAATTACACCGTTTTCAAGAGGATTGCTGTTCTATTTCTTCATTTCAACTGAACACAAAGAGAACTGCAGTCTTCCTTTCAATAAACATGCCAATACCCACAGACATTTAGACAGATTTGAGTCAATATTCTCCTCATTATTACTTTCCTGAATCTATTATTTTTCATCTGGTGAGCTCAGTGAAGCAGAAACCCCATTGGCAGCTATTAAAATAACACGCCCTCCATTATCTATATACAGTGAACTTATGAACTAGATCTATGTCAATGCTTTAACTAACTTTCCTTTCCCCCATTTCTCTGTCTTTAACGTATACCTGTATATTAAGACATAATCTAATAAAGGATTCAGTCCTTATTTTTACCAAAAAGTGAAATGGTTAGGGGCATTTTTTCCTGCTGAAGTCAAATCATAACGGCTGAAAAATACATTTTCTTATGTTTCCTTTGTATAACATTGCATTGCTGTTATTAAGACCATGTCTAAACAACTAATTTTAAATGACAGTTTTACAGTTGTCTCTTGAAGAACTTATTTGCTTTTAAATTATTTTACATAATGATCAAGAAAATATCTCCCCATTAGAGATATGATATTGTGGAGTATTCTCAGCATAGAACTGATTTTTCCAAGTATCTGTATTGAAATTCTAGATGTTGTTCATCTAAAGCAAAAAGCTCAAAGTAGTCTGATGGATGAGAATCTCCTATGGGTGTAAAAAGATGGATAAAGCTGAATTTTCCATGTCCAAATGAAATCAAGACCATGATTATTATCCTATTAACTCTCACAAAACGGAGAGTTTAAAGTGCTGTTGGTCCTCTCCATTCATTTGTTTTTAACTAACTGGAATCATAGCATTATCTTGGACAGTGAGCTTAAATTTGTTATAATTTTAAGTTGATGAAGAACTAAACAAATATGCCCCGTTCTGGTCAGAAAAAAATTCCTTATGAATGCTGACTAGAAAAAAGTAAAGTGAGCCATCCCTTCATATCATCCTCTATATGCTGTCTGCCTATTTAGTATAGAATCACTTAGAAGATTTTACTTTTTAAACCCTTTAAATGGTCTGACACCATCTTATTGTACATAGTTGATCTTTTACATAAACATAGTCACTGTAGGATGCTGACATCTGAAAACCAAATGCTTTTATTCTTTCTGACAACCAGACTGATAATTTAAGGAGACCAAGCTTTCAGCTGCAGTTCCTAAAATGTGAAACAGTATCACACCATCTATAAGATGCACCGGCAGCTGATTTTAAATCCATCAAAAACTTTGGTGTTTTGCCTTTTAATCCAAAGGATTAGTTTTGTTTCTGCTTTTAAAGATACCATTGTAATACTTATTTTAGATTGTGTGTAACAGTGCTATGTAACCAAGTGATTGATGGATTGAGGTTAAAATAATGAAACACCAGAGTTCCATACAAAACTCAACTCAAACCCCTTTATTAAACCAGTAAAATGTTCATGTTCATTTTTATCTTTTCTGAAACCTTTTTCTGCAAAAACTGCAAAAGTTAAAGACTGCACAGTTTTTTAATCAAAAGAATTGAAATAAGTTTTTGTTTTAGCTAATAATTTCATAAAATCAAGTATGTTTACTAAAACCTATTCGACCTTGGTAGGTCATGTGACTGGCTCTTCAGACTGGGAGGAGACATCTGCAGAGCACATTTAAATAATATTCTTTAAATTTTGTAATTATTTTGAGGGCAATCAAATTATTATGGAGCAGGAGAAAGTCCCCTACAAAAAAAAAATAAAATATCAGGAGATAAAAGACTGGTTTCTACTGAAGTCTGAGGAGGCCTGTTGTGCCTCAAATACATATTTTAAAGCAAATCTTTGGTGACCCATTTTCCATTACAATTACAGTGACCTTTTTTTTAAAACCAAAAAGCTGTGGGTTTGAGACACTTTGAGACACTTTCCTGCAGAAACTGTAGTCACTAACCAGGGCTACTGTAATCTCTAAATTAGATAAGTATTGGTAAATTAAAAAAAATGTATAGAAACGATGTAATATTTACTTTAAATCTAAACTTTAGCTTAAAGCATTTACATTCTTTATTTAGCAAGGCACTAAGGCTTGGCATCCACAAATGCCTAATCTTAAATGTAATTGCACCATTATTTGCGTCAAAGATTTCTAAAGCAGAACTTTAATCTTCTAAATCCAAATAAACAGGAACAAGAATAAAAATCATGACAAACTTGTCATTCTTTAATGGAAAGCATGAATAAAAAGTAACTTATTTCCTGTCCCAACTCACATCTCCTGTTGCTTCTTCTAACATTTTAGCTCTCTGTTTTTTTTTTTATATTATTTATCATAGTAAATTGTCAATGATGAAATTCCAATAACACTTCTCTCTCTTAGGATGCATTATGGGGCCATGGGTCAGAGAGGTAGTCATTGGGATTTCCACCAGGAAACTTGCAGCCTTCCCAGTACTTCAGTGCTCTGCTTTAACCTTAATGCCAGTTTGAGGGATCAGTAAAAGATAAGGAGCTTAAAGCACTTTCATTTTATAATTCCTGACTTTACTAAATGGCAAACAACTATTTACCCTAAAATTAAAAACATACAGTTTAGCTTTAATAATACTGTTGCAGTAATTCTCATCATAGAGATTGCTTATTTCGTTTAAATTTTCAGAAAGCAGCTGTACTTTCCTTTGGGAACAAGATAGCGATGAATATTTCTTAATGAATTACATCGGACGAATAAAGTGCATATATTGTATTTTTAATGTTAAACAATGGGGCAAACTTAAGTGGTACTAGTTTAGTTTCCTCGTCCCCACAGGCTCCCTCAGGCCTTCTGCTTGTTCACATGACCATATGCTTAGAATTTTCTTTCATGCGCTACCAATTTACCCCCCATGTCCCTGAGAGTGAAGTCATGCCCTGCATAAATGTACTCTTGTGTACATAGCTGAGGCTCAGTCATTTTTCATGTGGAAGCTCCCTTCAGGTGTTGAACAGTCTAACGAACGATGAAATTGGGGGGCATATAAATCTGGGAGAAGGCCATGAGGAACTTACATGTACCACGAGTGCTTCTGGATTTTTTCTAACTGTAAAAGAAAGAAGAAAAAAAAACTGTTATTACACAGAAATTATTTTGATATTTGTTTCCGTTTATGCAAACAATTATTTGTGGGAGTTTTGGGGGGGAAATAAGAAAGTTTGACACAGTGTTGGTTTAGAAAAGCTGTATAAAAATAAAAAAACTCACCATAACCTAAATTATACAGAAAAACAACATTAAATACAAAAGTTTAAGTAAATAAAGAGGCTTAAAAAAAAACAAAAAACATTGCAGTCATTGAGGAAAAATAAAGAGATTTTATTGGTTGAGAATCAAGGTTGAACTATGGATGAGAAAGATAGATGATACAACTGATCTTCAAACATGGATTATTATCTCCATCTTACCCAGTGCCGACAGTGCCAAGTTCTTACGCTGAGGAAAAATCTACCATTAACATTAGAGCTGGGCTATATGGCGATATATATCGTGAGGACGAGAGAAACATGTCTATCGTGACCTTTCTCCTCTATTTTTTCTATCGTGATAAACTTTTTTATTTTATCTTAACTTTTTTTAGCCAAGATTCTATACTGTTCACTGTCATGGCTGCAAATTGCATAACTGGAGTTCTTGGTTTGAGGTTGGGATTCTCATATTAGGAAACAAGATGATGGGTAAAAAATAGGCAATGAAAGATTTTTTTCAACCCTGTCTATCTGACGGACTATGAAAACATAAAATGCAACATCAGTTGTGGCATATCGTGATATATATCGTTATCGTGATATAAAATAATCCATATCGTGATATAGTTTTTTTTCCATATCGCCCAGCCCTAATTAACATCGTCTTTCGATTTCTCTTAGTTTGAACAAAAATCTCTTGATGATATCCCTCTTTATTGTACTTATCATGTAGCTACTCGGTCACTAACCCTCTCAACATTCTTTCTTGTAAGTGATCCCAAAGCAAAGCGAGGCAGAAATGGCGAGCCAAAGGGCAACAAAGAAAGATGTCTGTTACAATGACTTCTCCTTCCTTCCACTGGCCACAGTCAGAAACAAGATCAATGTCACTGCTGGGACTTTTTAATTTGCTCACGCTGCTGTTGTGGAACCACAGGAGATGCACAGAGCAAGTCTAATTATTGTCACTCATTCAGAGTTCATGTCTATACGTCTCCATCAATGTCTTGATCTTTCCTGCATCCCATAGGACCTACCTCTGTGTGGCAGAACTGATAAATGACTGTGTGCGATATTAGAGCAATCAGCGAGCCTTTCAGGCTGGTAAGCGACTTTCGGTGAGTGCTGTATGCCTCTGCAGAGGTCATGGTATTGACAGAGATATTCTGGCTATCAGATACAGGCCAGTGGCTGACCTACTCTGACTGCATTTTATTGAAGGCCTGGAGGCAGGAGACAAATATCACACACATTGCTTGCAGACAGTAATGAGGTTTAAAGTAAAAATGAACATTAAGTGCTCATGACCATTATACAAGTAGGCGAAACACATCTCTTAATGTACAGTGCTGTAAAAAAGAAATTTTCTCTTTAAGGCTACTTCAGGTTTTACTTCTTATTTTAACTTAAATAGTAGTATTTCCTTAATTGGCTACTGTAGAGTACTTTGAATTACTGTTTTTTTCTACACTATCTGAAAATTTTTTATGAACTTATTTTTTTTCTACTGACTGAAGTTAACTTAGTGTGATGCTAAAAGATTTTTTCAGTTAAAAAACTCTTAATCTGAAAGGTCAAAAATGAAAATACAGGTTTTAAAATACTTTTTTGTATCTCACTTGTACACTACATATTATTAACTGGGCTATATTTAATCATTCTTTATTTATGACATCACCATTCCTGTGAATGGGAAGACAACGACCGAGTCTGATATTTTGCCATCCGATTGCCAGTAATCCTTTTTAATATATCTTTGTGTATTTAAAGAAATAAGTTTACTTTTATGTGAACAGCCTGCAAAACTGTTATATGTATTCATATAATTTTGTTTATGATCATTTTTTTCTTATACTCTCAGTGTTTTCTACCTTTAAAGATGATGTTTGCAACCAAAATTTGAAATAGCAACCACAGCTGTAATTTGAGCCAATGTGTTCAGATATACCCACCTCTCAGGATATTAAGCAGCAGTACTAGTTTCTAAACATCATGTGTTTGGGTTGTAGTTTTTGCCAAACACAAAATTATCTGGAACCAAATTGGAATATAATCAACGAGTCATTTAAAATCTTTAGAAGACAAACTAATATTACCCTGCCACCTCCGCAAATTGCCTCAAATGAAAACATCTGCAACAGTGCCATTTTTTGTTAAAAGAAATAAAACTTTTAGGCGTTGCTTAAAACTTTAAACAAATAATAGAGCTATGGTTTTATCGTCAAAACATTAGGAAAGCAATAAATGCCCCCTTAAAAAAATAATAGGAGTGTTAAATAAGTCACCCAAATACTGTGCTACCCTTCATATACATGGCATTGATTTAAATAATGCACCAGATTAGAGCTCTGTTTATTGATAAATGCCTAACTATAAATGACCAGGAAAATTTTTTTGAGGACATAAAAATCTTGATATCTGAAATCCTGCTAGAGTTGTGAATGTAGCATTATACATTCATAGAAGTCAAGCACAAGCCAATCTATATGATTAATGTATTTTACCCAATAGGGTATACAACTGCCCCAGAGGCTTTTTTGTATAGGTAAGCTACCTTGACATAGCCACTTAAATATTTATTTCACTAATACATAAAATACCGCTGGGCAAATTCGTCTGCACTGTGTTTGTCTGTTGTCCTGTCAAACCCCCAGTCGGCGACAACAAATGGGGGCTCATGCTAAGCTGGGTTCTGCTCCAGGTTTATAAGTAACAAATATATATACCGTTTTTCCAATGGCCACAGAGCACACATGTAAAAATATAACCCCCACATATTGGCTGCATTTTTTAAAAAAGGGCTTCTAGTTGTTGCTTAAAGACAAAACAAGATTTAAAGAGAAATGAGCAAATGGAGCTTGTTTCAGGCAATAGATGAACTGAGGGACTGGGCCCATGTATAATAAAACAGGCTTTTCCACGTTACTGAATCATACGTATTACCCTGCCAAAAGGCTTTAAATCCGTATTAACCGTCCCCTCTCGTGTTGCAAAGTAAGGTAGAAACCATTTAGATCTACGTTTCTGCTTCTTTTTCCTGTCAGACAGCAGTAAAGATTGAACATTAAAAGCTGTATTTCAAAAGGCCTCATTTTAGAAAGAGAATATGGTGAAGAATTAGGATATTAAAAGTCTTAAGTGGTCATATTGAGTTCTAGAAAATGAATCCTGTGCTTTCAGTTTGAGTTTTTAAATCATTTGATGATTCATCTGTTAGGGGCAAACAATTTTTTTTTTGTGTTTTGCGTAAGCTAGACTTAAGAGCCCAGGAGGGTTGTAATACCCACTGGCCTCTGGATGTCTAACCAGAAAGAGAGAACAGTGATTATTTTGTTTTAGTCAAGTCCATTAAATGCAGGGATATGGCCTCCCACCAATAACAGGGACTCTGGCTTTGTGAGATTTGATTCTTTTTGCATCAACAAGAAAAATCTAATTAACAGAAGCTAACAGACAGTAGTGGCTGTATGATTACAGTGTAAAAAGATCCATCAAACTGTTATGAGGAAGTTCATGAAAAAACAAGCCCTTGCCAAATAACCTCTTGTTATTATGTCTGCCCTTGGGTGTTTTTGTCTCTTGTGCGACTCTATGCTCACCAGTAATCTTGAAAGATTCTCAAACTGAAAGGCTATTTGACATTCTGTGAGGTTACAACACATCCTCTAAGGTCCTTTTGGAGTTAGGAGAGGGGAACAGACAGATAGCATATTCTCTCTCAGCCGTTTGGCCTTAGTGTAACCCTTTATCGAGGACACTGCTGCTTTCTGGTGGGCATATCTGGGGATATGGGTGACCTGCCCTCATCAAAGAGGGGGGACATGAGTATAAGAGAAGCAGTGCATCTGCAGCATACATAGGCGGATCTACTGGGGTGGCATAGGGTGGCAACTGCCACCCTAAATGACAGCCTTGCCACCCCAGCTGCCACCCCAGTTGGCGGTAGGGGTGGCGAGGCTTATAAATTATGGATCATTTGAGAATTACGACCGCTAATTTCAAATGTCGGACTGCAGTGAATGCAGCACGAGATGACGCGAGAGCGACTGAGACTGATTGTTTTGAAAACCGAATGGGGCAATGTGAGGGGGCCAGGGGTGATGGGGAGAGGAGAAACGGGATGAAACAGGTAAAAACTGATTAACTATCTATCGAGGAATGAAATTATAATGAAAGCACAATGTCGCTAGCATAGCTGCAATGCTGATTTACAGATGATAAAAATCAGGTTGCAGAACGTTATTTCTCTAACTATGATGTTAGTTAGGCCTGACGTTTCAGGCTCATAAAGACATATTTGCGGTCAACTATGACAGAAAAGAGACGATCAAGTTTGGTTGAACTCAAATCAAAACGCACAAAGGCATTGGATCTAAATAAAGTTGTGAAGCGTTTTGCTGAGCAACATGGAAATCGCCGCATTCAGCTGTTATAGTCATGTCAACTCTATGTTATGCTCTCTGGTGAACCTTTAAAGAGCTGCTACATTTTGTTTTGGCACCTGAGAAAATCTGATATTTCCTTTAATAAAACCAAAAGTGTTAAAAGTTAAAAATGTGATACTGGTGTGAATCCTGCTTAATATGAAGCAGTGTTGTTGTTTCTTTTTTTGTATATATAGTATGAAACTATCCAGAAATGACCCGTATGAACCTACTCACAAGCAAAATGTATTTTTATGTTGCTTCTTTTCAGATTTGTGGAGATTTTGATGTAACATACAGAACCCGCCTTTTTGTTGATTTGTTGATACAGCAGTATGGAGGACCAACTCTGCCATATTTAAAAATAAATACAGAAATAAATAAATGCTTAATAAATAAATAAGCATACAATTAATTGCCACCAAAAATACAAACAACAAATAAATGTAAGTAGAAATTAAATAATACAGCTAGTCATAAAGGTATATAACTCTTTTAATTGGCTTCTTTATTTCTTTGCCTTTTTAATATTTACCTTATTTATTTTTTTGTCATTTATTATCTTCAACTTAATTTTTTAATTACTTATATTTTTAAGTATTTATTTAAGTGCATGTTATCATATTTTTGTCTGTTTTATTCTTCCTTTGTATTTTTTTACCCTAGTTATTTCTTCGCCGCTATTTCTTTCTGCCTGCCCTTTTAACATTTCTGCCAGCCATTATAATATAATTTCTAATTACATTTATTTGTTGATTGTATTTTTGGTGGCAATTAATTGTATGCTTATTTATTTATTGAGCATTTATTTATTTCTGTATTTATTTTTAAATATGGCAGAGTTGGTCCTCCATATACAGCTCTATCTACAGCATATTTACATGCATGAAATGTCCCTTTCATGTTGCCTTAACTGCTGTATGTCAAGTTACTGAGGAACAAATGGGGTAAATGTGTGTTCAGAGTAAACAATACATGGATGTCTGGTACCTTGTTTGGTGCTTTGACCCTTTTATTTCTACTGTGTAGTTCTGCTCACTTTAGTCCAGCTCAGTCCATAGATCTCTGATGGGTAACTTTTTCTTTCTATAGTTTCTTCTTGGTCAAATGCTGCAAAGCTGCCTCTCTGACAGTCAATCTCACACATCTGCGAATCAGCACCTGTGTCTTACCTTAATACCTTTCCTGTCATAATGCCCCCCTAGAAGTAGTGTTATCATTCTTCTATCTCCTATTAGGTGAGATCACATTGTACGATGTATTACTAATATGAACTGTTTCACATGAAACACTAGTACTGTACATACAGTACTATTCTCACCAAACTGTGATAACTGTGATTAAATTAAGTGTAAACAAATGCCATATGTTGCCACCCCTAAAAAATTCCTGCCCCCCTCTTGCCACCCCATAAATATTTTTCTAGATCCGCCCCTGGCAGCATAATAAAATTGAATTTTTTTTTTTTTACTTTATGCAGCTAGAATAGTACTATATAGACCTTTTTGCTTTATTTCATACCATTTTTCTTTTTCCTTTGCTCATACCGTAAAATTAAAAAGAAAATAACTTGAAAAAACTTGTTCAGTGTTATTGTGGGAACATCCTAGAATTGAGCTGCTTATGGTGGCTGCACATTGGAGTAGCTCTGCCAGCTAGACTCGGATATTCTTTTTTAAGAGAACCAGTGTTGATATTTAAGAGCCATCTTAGATTTAGTCTTAGTCTTCAGGATGAAATCTACTATTAGTTTTAGTCACATTTTAGTCATTACTATATGTGATAGTTTTAATCGAATAAAACTTAAAAAGGTTTTAGTCTCGTTTTAGTCAGTTTTATGTTGTAAACCTTTACAATTTTGAATAACAACCAGATTCTTTACCAGACTGACAGCTCTTGCCTAGATACTACAATTGCTGGGTACAGAATGCTGCTCTGCAGTTTATCCTTGCTGTTGGGCAGAAAACTTTGATTTATAGAATTCATTTTTTTTTTTCATGAATTAATGCCCCACTGTGCCACAAAAGTTATGAAAATAGCAGATCTAGTTCAACACATCATATTGGTTAATTTAGCAGACAGACAAGCTAACAAAATTAACAATAAATGAATGGTTTTAGACATAACATATCCATCCTAAAGCAAATACTTCCTGATGTGCTTTTAATTATGCATTACACACAGATCCATCAATCGTCATTACTCCTAAAAAGCAAAGAACAAAAACATTCTTCTTTCTACTTTGGCAATTAATTTATTTCTTCAATTTGCCCCTTGGTTACTGCTGCTCAGGGGTCAACGTAGATTTAAATTCAGAGGGGTTTAATATGAAAACAATACAGAGGAAACCTACATAATTGTCTTGCAATGCCATGACAATCCACACCTAAATTCAAAGAAAATGCTAACTAAAATGTTGAAATATTTAAAGAAAACAGAGAAAGTATTTGAATGACAACACAAGGAAACATTTACATTATATAAATAGACAAACAAGAACTGTGAAAGAGAAATATTGAAAGATCTATGTACCTTTTCACCTGGCTCTTTATCCAAAAATAAACAGCATGCAATTCAATATTTTCTTTGGATATAAATTAGATTCCTTTCGGTAGAAATTAAACATTGTTTTAGCATCAGCTCTTGTGAGCTGCAAGAAATAAAATGTTGATAATTGAAAGGGATTTTTCATGCTTGGCAGAGGATAATCAGCAACAAATAGTTTATTGAGTAGCGAGAACAGGAAGAGCCATACTGCTGAGAGCGAACCATTGGTGTGGGGCATAAGTTTTTGGTATTTCTGCAGATTTCTGCACGAGCACAACTGTAAGAGCAGAGTTTGCCATGAAACATGGCTGCAGGTTCACATCTCGAATTCAACTGTCTCTCTGCAAGGCTTTCTGACCATACTTTAGGATTCATAAAAGCATTTTTGAAATTGAATTGAATTTAAATGTGAACGATAATCTAAAGCAAAAAGGAAATGGGACAGTAACAATTCCCAACAGCAGTGTAACCAGATTTCCTTATAAGGACAAACATGAAAAGACTTGAACTGATTCATAAAGATAACTCAATACCTACTACTCTGGTTAGATGTCACCTACCTTTTTTTCTGATACATATAAAATGCTGTGTGGAATAAAAAACAGTATTTCATATTGCCTTTACACATGTCATCATTACATTTTTACATCAGCATCAGGCTGTCCAGGAACCTCTCTCAAGGAGGGACAGGACAGGTGGAAGGATCCATTAGAGACACAAATAAAATTGTGACTTGGAAAACAGTTAAAGGTCCAGGCGGACTGCAACCCTAAACCTACAGCCAGAGCTACAATTGATTGGTTTAAATACATTTATTATCACACTTTTAAAACCAAATCCAAATGAGAACATGTTTTAAATCTTTAATTAAGGTTGGCACTCCCGTTCAAATGTTACTCAGCTAAAGCTATTTTGCAAACATGGAAATAATTCACTCCTTAGCTATGCAAAGCTGGACGAGACATACTGCACCTCAAAATATTTAATTACAGTGAAAGGTGGTTCTACACATAATTGAGTGTCACAATTTAAAAAACTGAAATAGTTGAACATTGTCTTTGCTTTTAACTTCATTATAAAATACTTATTTGTGTTGATAACTTGAAATGCAAATAAGATACAGTGGAACCTGCAATTGCAGTGCAAAAAAAACTTGGTAAGTTTCAAAATTAAGTAACAGAAGTCCCTCCACCAACTTATACCAACAACTGGTTGACAGGAATGGAGACTCACAAAAAACAAAAAAAAAACAAAAAAAATGCACTAGATGACGTACATCCAAGAGGTTAATCATTGCTCTGCAATGAAGCCTCCAAAATAAACTGACCGTTAGTCTTTTGGATGCATCCACTTCAATCATACCACGGAGGAGATTCTGACAGTCTGGAGGAATGAAATGTGGCATGTGAAACACTCCCAGCTTCACCTTCTCCAAGAGATTCCTTAAGTTGTCATCATCAAATGGCAGGGCGCCCTGAAAGAGGCAGACAGCACTTAAAGACAATCAATTCAAAGAAGGTATAGGGGATGAAGTTTGCAGAAAATAACTAAGCCTTCACTTAAGCATGATGTAAAGGATAAATCTACTGCAATGCCACACACACACACACACACACATACACCCCCATACTCGTTCTGCCATTGTAATGAGGACCATGTGTTGACTCCCATTGATTTTCAGTCATGTTCAACACTTTCTATGCCCCAACCCTAAAACTAACACTAAACCTAACCATTACCAATGCATACCTCACCCTAACCCTAACCAATTGACACCTTAGCCCTAAACCTAACCCTTCGCGAAATAGCATGTGAGGGCAATCAAAACGTCCTCACTTTGCAACAACTGGTCTTCAATTTGATGGTGAAATTGGAAAAATGTTCCTCACTCTGATGGCTAGACAGGTACGCACACACACAAAACCATTCTGAGATTAAGTCCTCAATGTCTTCAAGAATGGGTTTCCTTTCTTCAACTGCAAAGCAAAACAAGCTGAAAAAAACAGCAATTAGCTGTGAATGGGTCTTTTCTAATAATTACCATGATTTCTTGTTTACCATGTTCATTTAGCATGCTCTCATCAGAGTCATTTATCAAAGAGTGCTGACACCTCACAGATGTGGCTGTGTGATGAATGGCAGCCTCCATCAGAGGACAAGATGGAAGAGAGGAAACCGGCGGGAAAGACAGACAGATTGGCGTACAGTTAAGGATTAAAGGGGGGGGGGGGGGGGGGGGGTAGACTTGTGTAACAGATGATCTGAGTGCAGTCTAACTGCTGGGGAGTATCCTGTCTCCCCCAATCAGACAAATGGTATCTCACAGCCAGACGGCAGGAGGAAACAGAAGAACATTGGTATTTCTTCAAGAAAACAGTTGCTAGAAAAAAAACAAACTTCTGTTTTTTTGTGAGAGAATGGTCAAGATCAGAAAAATGGAAACGTTCCAAGATTTACCCAGTGTCTGGAATAAAAGAGGCAAAAGAGGAGAGGAATAAACAAGCCTATGGCAAAACATTGCCATGTCAATAATGATATTTATTTAGGGTTCCCTTCCTTTAGTTTGGCTGCATGAATTATTTATTAGGGAGAAGTGTGCAGGAACTCCAGCACAGCTGTACAATAAAGCTTAAAGGACTGCATTGCTGGTGGACCCAAACAGTAAATGTAACTGAAAAATAAACCTTATTTTAGATACAGTATTCTGTGTAGGTTAAGAATAAGAAGTGAAAGGATGCTATAGGTCCCAATAGGGCAATATATATATATATATATATATATATATATATATATATATATATATATATATATATATATATATATATATATATATATATATATATATATAATTTTTTTTAAGGACCATGGACATTCCAATGTTATGCAAAACTTCAAGTTGGAAACCATAAACAGGCTTAAATTAGAAAGCAACCAGGCTTCTACTCAATTTTTTAACGTTTCAACACCTATCAAGGAGTCTTTGTCACTTTTGTTGGCTTGCACCAAAGCAAACTCTAGTTGGAGTGCTGATGTATTTAAGCTGCATGGAGGTCCATCTTCCTGTTGTGCATGGGCTCCGATTAGTCATTCTGGGACTTCTTAAGTAACTTCTTTGGAAGGAGGTCCATAGCTGATTTTTAAATGCTTGGAAGCTGAAACCACAATCCTCCCCCTCCTGTTCCATGATGGCTTTTCTCTTTTCACAAAATGGTTTCTATGACCCCACCTGTCAAAAATCTGAACAATCTGGTCTTTAAAGGTGTTTCCTTTGTTTTTGAGGTCCAAGTGTACTTACAATTTAAGAAGGCCTGTGGTTGCCATGACTTTGATGACTGAGAATTTACACTCATGATAAAGTTGAAAGATGAGCAATAATTAAAGATGCAGTCAGAAGGACAATAGTAGTGCCTGTTAGCAATGCACTCTGAGTAGGCCTTTATGGAAGAAGAATAGAAAGAAGAAGAAGAAAGCTAAGAATTATTATACATTTTTTTCCATTTTAAGTGGGCCAACTCAGTTATATTAAAAGTAAACCAATGGAAATTGCAGCTGTAATCTGATCTTTCAATAAGCCAGGTAACTCCTGGGTGTATAATAGGCATAATATTGGTGTGTGGTCACAAAGAGCACATCTGATGTTGCTAAAAGTGGTCCTCAGTGAATTCATGGAGCTTTTGTGTACGCACAGACAATATGAAAAGGATGGATAGAGTTTAATATAAGGTAATACCCAAAGAAAACATGTTAGAATGGGCCAGTCAAAGCTCAGAATCTGTGGCAATCTGTGGCAAAACATACAAACTCTTACAAATCTGAATGAGCTTAATCTGTTCGGCAAGAACGAAAGTTACTATCGTAACTACGGTTCTATGAATCCCGGATGACCGCCAGAGGCGGTGCTTCAAGCACTGAATGATCATTCATGCGCATGCGCAGGTCGAGTATTAATGACAACAAAGTCAGCTGTGACCTGCCGGGGACCCATGTGACTCTATATAGTCACGTGGCACCCGGCAATCAATCCCTCAATCTTCTCGCGAAAGCAGAGATTCCGAGGGACCAAGCACTCTGGCGGTCATCCGGGATTCATAGAACCGTAGTTACGATAGTAACTTTCGTTCTATTTCATCCCTACTGACCGCCAGAGGCGGTGCTTCAAGCACTGGATGACTCATATCAACAAGGTCACGAGGAATCAGCAACATTCAAGGAACGACGACTACACCACCCACCTAATGTGATGTAGAGGGATGCTGCTCGAGGATTCCCTGAAGCGGATGGGGCGCAGCCACATTCACCCTGTAGAACCGAGTAAAGGTACTAGGTGATTTCCAGGAGGCCGCACGGCATATAACATCCAATGGCACCCCAGTCATAGCAGCAAACGATGTCGACATGCCCCTTGTAGAGTGGCATTTCACTCCCGCCGGCAGTGGCCAGTCCTGCAAGGCATAAGCCTTGGAGATCAAATCCACAATCCAGTGTGTAAGTCGCTGCTTAGAAAGTGCCTGACCCTTCCGTGAGCCAGCGTAGCAAACAAAAAGGCTATTTGTCTTTCGGAAGGATGCCGTGGCATTGATGTATGTCTCAAGGGCACGAACAGGACACAGTGGTTCAGAGGGACTTCCGGAGTCAAACCGGGCAAGATGGAGAGGCTGGGTGCTGCCTGCTGGCAGTGATACCTTAGGAATAAACGCTACGTCAGCCCACAGTGTAACGCCTGAGCCATCAGGATTCCACCGGCAGCAGGGTTCGGCTATCGAGAGAGCCTGTAACTCCCCTACACGTTTTGCGGAAACCATAGCTAAAAGGAACGCAGTCTTCAGTGAGAGCCATTTGAGGTCCGCCGACGCCAGGGGCTCAAATGGGAGGGACCGAAGAGCCTCAAGCACAAGAGAAAGGTCCCACGCCGGTGCCACAGGGCGGTTGGGGGGGTGCAAACGCCGAGCGCCTCTTAAAAACAGTACAACATCCTTGTCTCGGCCCACAGAACAACCATTCAGCCCAACATGCCAACAGGAAATGGCAGCCACATACACCTTTAAGGTAGATGGAGACCGTCCTTGATCCAGCAATGCCTGCAGGAAGGTCAGTATGTCAGAAACTGAGCACTGCACCGGGTCCTGCCCTCTATCACAGCACCAGGTGGCAAAGACCGTCCACTTGTTAGCATAGACAGCTCGCGTGGACGGCGCCCATGCATTAGCCATTTGGACCCAGTGTATCTTGAGAAGGTGGACCCCGGCCTTGCAGGGGCCAAATCCAGAGCTGGAGCCGGTCCGGTTCGGGGTGCAAGATCTGACCCCCCATCTCTCCTGGAGGGGAGACGCATTGGCGAGCCGGAGCTCAGCTCGCACAGTAGAGGAAACCAAGTCCTCGCTGGCCAGTAGGGGGCCACCAGCAGGACCCTGTGCCCCTCCTGACGTACCCTGAGGAGAGTCTGAAAAAGTAGGCTGAATGGCGGAAAGGCATAAAGGAGGGTCCGGGGCCAGTCGTGTGCCAGAGCATCGTGGCCCAGAGGGCTGCTGTTGTCCAACGAGAACCAAAGGGGACAGTGAAATGCGTCCCTTGAGGCAAAGAGGTCCACGTCCGCCCTGCCAAAGACCTTCCAGATGCACTCCACCACCTCTTGGTGAAGCTTCCACTCCCCTGGAAGCGGCTTCTGACGGGATAGAAAATCTGCTGGAACGTTCTCCGGCCCTGGGATGTAGGCTGTTCTGAGGCTGGCTATGCGTGGAGCTGCCCAGGTCAGAAGCCGTCGAGTCAAGCACAACAGTTTCCTTGACCTCGTTCCCCCCTGGTGGTTGATGTGAAAGACCACTGTGGTGTTGTCTGACCTCACCAGCACGTGCTTCCCCCGCAAGCCTGGAAGAAAGCTCTGAAGAGCCAGAAGTACAGCCTGTAACTCCAGGACATTGATGTGTTCCCTGCCCTGCCGCTGGGACCATGTCCCCTGTGCCATTTGACCCCGCCAGGTTGCACCCCAGCCCGTGGAGGATGCATCTGCAAACACAACTTCCCGACGACACGGGAGGGAACCGAGCGGGACCCCTGTGGTCATAAACAACCTCACCCTCCATTGGGACAGAGACTGAAGACACTGAGGCCCAACCCGAAGTCTTCGGAGACGATGAGTGTTCCGTGTGGGATCCAGATTCAAGCTGTTCAACCACATCTGGAGGGGCCGCAATGACAGCAGCCCCAAGGGCACTACGGCGGACGCAGCTGTAAGCATGCCCAAGAGTCGAAGATACCGCACAAGAGGCAGCGCCATGCCGCGCCTGAATTCCGGGAGCACGCTCAATATACTGTCCACCCGCTGGGGTGACGGGCAAGCAGTCATTGAGATGGAATCCATGGCAATGCCCAGGAAGACAGTCTCCTGTGAGGGAGTCAGACTGCTTTTCTCCATGTTCACCTGCAAGCCCAAGCATCCCACATGATGGAGCACTAACCGAGTATCTCGAACCGCCTGGTCCAACGTCGCAGCACAAATGAGCCAGTCGTCCAGATATGGGAGGATCCTCAATCCCTGTGCCTGCAGAGGAGAGAGAGCCGCTGCAACACATCGGGTGAACACCCTGGGGGACAGTGAAAGTCCGAACGGGAGGACCCTGAACTGGAAATGTCTCCCTTGGAAAGCAAAACGAAGAAACCGCCAACGGGGCGGAGCGATCGGAACGTGAAAATAAGCATCCCTGAGATCTATGGAAGTGAACCAATCGCCCGGGGAAATCGCCTGCAACACTTCCCTGGTGGTCAGCATATGAAAGGGCATGGCCTTCAAGTACACATTCAGGCCCCTGAGGTCCAAGACTGGAGGCAGGCCCCCAGTCTTCTTCGGAACCAGAAAATACGTGGAATAAAAGCCCCCTGGATCCAGCAGGGGGTCCACAGGCACTATAGCACCCTTGGCCAGCAAGGTGCAGATTTCTTGGTTCAGTGCCTGTGCCTTCACCGGGTCGTGGATCACAGTCATCCTGACCCGGCCAGGGATAGGTGGCCGGCGGCGGAATTGAAGACGGTACCCCCGGGACAGGGTGGACAACACCCACAAGTCCGGGGTGTGGGCAGCCCAGAAGCTGAGCTGTCCCGGGGAAAAATAACCGACCGCCGGCCCTAAGGCATCATCTGCGGGTCCCCGGCCCTTCGAAGGCCCGGGAGGGCGCCGGCCAGACTGCGCGGCTCGAAAGGGATGAAAGGACCTTGTTCCAGCCTGGTCTCGAGCTCTGTTCCTCCGATCTAGAGCAGGTCTCTGGACCGATCTCTGACCTGGTAACGGACCCTGGGGCTCAGTGGGAGAAGGAGAAGGCACTAAGGACCTCCGTGAAGGACCCGCAGCTGCCCAGGTGCTTACTGGCTGGCGGTTACGTCTGTGAAGCCCTGCCAGCTGTTGCCTCGTTCTAGAGGCCTGAGCCGTACGGTCCAAGGCGTCCAGTGCCGCAGAACCAAAAAGCTCCCCCGGGACCACAGGCAGGGCCCGGAGGGTCCTCCTACAAGGCTCAGTTAGTGGTGACTGCGCCAACCACACCTGGCGGCGAGCATGAACCAGTGTGGAGAGTGTGCGTCCAAGTTCCCTCGTCATAAGAGCAAAGGCCTGCAGAGATGCATCAACCAGGCCTTGCGTGGCATGATCCAGCGGAACAGATTCCAAGGAGGAAGACAGGGCCAGCATAAGATGGGAGAGAGAGTTCCCAATCCGGCCCATGCGGGCCCCAGAGTCATAGGCCTTGCAGAGAAGGTCGTCGGTAATACGGCACTGAGGACGCGGACAACGGGCATTGGGCCGCAAGGCCTCATCAGGCGGGATTATAAGAGAGGCAATGCCCGGTTTCACCGCTGGCATCTGCCCCAAGCCAACCTTGGGTGCCTCCTGCATAGCTGCCAGGACCCTGCCATCCGTCGTCAGACGTGAAAACGCCTTGGTGTCTGACCAGCAAGCATGCAGTTCCCGCACATACTCCGCCGAGGGAGGAACCACAAAGGCAGTCTCTGACCTACTGCGCCTAAAGAAGGCGCTGGAAGCCGCAGGCTGGGCCTGAGGAACACCAATTTGTAAACGGGCAAGAGCCGTTCGAATAGCGGATGTCACAGACTCCCCCGTATCCTCCTGGGAGGCAATGGAGTCCGACCCAGAGGCCCCGGAGCCCAGCTCCGGAAGGTCCTCACAGAAATGGGTGCCAGAGGCCGCCACAGAAACAGCATCGTCGTCATTGACTGACGTTTCATCCTGCTCGGTAGGGAGAGCCGTGCCACGATCACCAGCAGTCTGAAAGGACTGGAGGAGGGCTTTCATTTGGGCCAGCTCCGTAGTGAGATGATCCACTCTCGTGGACAACCTCCCTGCATCGGTCCGTCTAGCACGCTTTGTCGGTACCGAAGGTGCAGCCACAGTAGATCGTTTGCACACCGCTTTCTCCATCGGCAAACGAGCACGCGGCGAAGCGCCCGCCCAGTCGGTAGGCTGCTCCAGTGCAGCCAGCCGATCCAGTCTGACCGACCGGGGCATGACGCGACAGTTGGGGCAAGCGTCATCTGACAGCGCCTCCCGGAGATGTTCCACACCGAGGCAGGAGGGACACAAGTCATGCCCGTCATCGGGCTGAAGTGGAGCCAGACAGGTCGAGCAACATAAACTATCCAGCATCATACTGCTGAAAGGCGTGATCAGCCCGCTACCAAGGACAAGTCAACACGAGCAGGAAACGCTACTGGCGACTCGATTATTAACTAAAGATGAACTCAGCACGAGCAGAGACGCCACTGGTGAGTTTAGGCAAACAAACAATAGAAGAACCCAACGCGAGCGGAAACGCTACTGGTGGGCTAAGGCAAACAAACTGAGAACAACTCAGCGCGAGCAGAAACGCCACTGGTGAGTGTAGATAAACAAACTATAGAAGAACCCAACGCGAGCAGAAACGCTACTGGTGGGCTAAGGAAAACAAACTGAAAACAACTCAGCGCGAGCAGAAACGCCACTGTTGAGTGTAGATAAACAAACTATAGAAGAACCCAACGCGGGCAGAAACGCTACTGGTGGGCTTAGGTAAACAAACTGAAAACAACTCAGCGCGAGCAGAAACGCTACCGTGAGTCAAAACAGCCACAAAATTAACGTGGCAAATCAAAGCGAACAGTAAACTACTGCTGAGAAAAGAACGAAAACTTACCAGTCACCGCAGATCTGGTAAGGTGAAAGCAGCTTGTGCAGCCCCTGGAGGGCGAGACTTACCCGCAGCTCCGACCAAACCCGGTCACGGGGCTACCAGCAACAAGCAGCCAGGAAACTAGTGGTATACACAGAAGCAACCAGCTTCACACGACCACACTCCTGTACTCAACACACCTGCGCGCGAGAAGAACAAAAGGGATTGATTGCCGGGTGCCACGTGACTATATAGAGTCACGTGGGTCCCCGGCAGGTCACAGCTGACTTTGTTGTCATTAATACTCGACCTGCGCATGCGCATGAATGATCATTCAGTGCTTGAAGCACCGCCTCTGGCGGTCAGTAGGGATGAAATAGAACAATGGTTACAATTTGAAGGGTTATTTTTTGTATGCAAAGCCGGCTATGATTTAACCAAACAATATTTTTCAAAGTATGAAAAAACAGCTGCTGAAGAACAATCATACAATACATCCATTTTATTAGTAAATGAATAGCAAGACAGCAGTTTAGATTTTCTTGTGATTTACTATTTGTGACTTCTTGTCCCTACTTGCTTTTATTGTATATTTATAATAACATACATTTAGTTTTGTGACAGAGATGTGGTAAAACACAGAAGTTAATAGAGAAATATTTTTGCAAGGTACTCTACTGTATGGACTCACCACCAAAAGAGCAAAAAGAATAACCCCACAGCTCCAAACATCTGCTTTCCTTCCATCGTACTTTTCCCCCTGGAGGAAAGACAATGTGTTATTTTAAGTTAGGACAGGATGGTGACATCATCAATCATATTTTTAGAAAGTAAAAAACCAATGTAGAAAAAAAAAAATATTCAAAGATGAACTTACCCTTATGACTTCTGGGCATGCATAGTGTGGTGATCTTGAAGAAAAAAAGAAAGACACCTTTAATAAACAAACTAAACAAGAAGGAGAAGGAAAGTCAACCAGCTCTAAAGTCAGTAATGTAGTCAGAGCAGTCAAACAAACAAATAACACTCTAATGCACATTAGATAGTAAATATTTCCACTGAACATAGATCAAGGTGCACTTCCACAGTTTAGACATTCTGAGGGTGTATGGATGTCCTCTGCCCGGTGCTTTCCTCAGTCAAGGGCATCTTTCTGTAGCAGACGGTAACCAGACTCACTAATCTTTACAGCCTCTGGATGGCCTGACAGTAAAGCCAATGACTAGATTGACACATCAATATCATATGAAGATTTATGGAGCAAGCCCACTAAAACTGCCCTATAATCTGGCAGCTGCAGCAGAGGAGTAAACTTGTCAGTCCTTATATAAATTTGGAAATTCTTATGTTTTGAAATGAAATGTCTTGGAGTAAAAATGAGATATCTGCCTCAATCTGCATATAATTGGCTCCATTAAACAAAATGTTACAAAATATTCATATGTATCCTTGAACCTCTGAGCCTATTGAGATGTGTCCTCCACAGCTTCAGCTCCTTCTTTCTAGTGCCAGGATATCTGACTTTAATGAGGGCCTGTCTAGGGCTGTTTTCTTGTGTACTCATGAATACCATCCTTGATGACCCAACTCCTTGAGCTGTCAAAAAAAAAAAGCTAATAACACTACCAGCATGTCAACAGGGCAAGTTCAAATGTGAGCCCATGCAAATTCGTCCTTCATGATTGCAAGTACCACAGCGCATCATGTGTTTGATCAAGAGGAGGGGAAAAAAAACAACCCATATTTGTAATAGTTATGTCTCATACATCTTAAGGGCACCACAGCATGCAAACCATAACTGTAATCTGCAAAAACATAAGAATTGTCATTTGAAGGACTTACAGATCAGTCACAGTGCAGAAAGGAAAACAAACAAGGAGTTTTAAATTAATCCTTATTCATTATTAGACAGACACAAAAAAAATAACATAGATGTAGCTTCAACAACCCCTCTGATCCGTCCCAGTTTAAACATAGTTTCCTTACTCAATTTAATGTAATTGAATTGAATAATATTTTATTAATCCCAAAGGGAAATTCAGCATATGATCTATTAAAACCTGGGTATGGGCACCAATGGGCTACAACAATGTTTGAAATTAAATCTCAAAAGTATGGCATACAGATGAAAAAAAAAAGACTAAAAAAATAAATTACAATTTTTCAGTCCTCGATTACAAAAGCAACTAGTGATGGAAAAGGAAATGAAAAATGAGCCTTCACAGTTTACAATGGTCTTATTAAGAGATTCAACAAAATAAATACATGTATTGTATTCATTTATAAATACACTTAATAATAAAATCACTTTCTCTGGTATATAAGATGGTGTTTAAATATGAGAAAGTTATACCTGACTTCTGTAAAGATGATATTGCTTTGGTTGGGATCTATCACAACAAGGTATGATGTGCAATTACTATTTAATGTCCTGTGCAATAACCTGTTTCTTTGTATTTGGTACCCAGTGCAATAAATATATAGATAAATACCCATCTATACAAATACCCATGTAAATACATTGTGCAATAACCCTGTATTATAATCCAGCTGAAAAAAAAAATAAAAATACTTTTCTTCCTTTGGCACCTTTTTCTTCTCTTTGACTGTTTGAGCAAATGTAACGTGTACATTTGTCCACTGTGAGATCAATAAAGTCAATCAATCAAGCAGCACTTGGTTTTCACACTTTCCTTCCAAATTGGGGATGTATTTGGGCCTTATAATCATGTTGCTCTATTATCCCCACCAAACAAAAATGCACACTAGAGAGTTCATGCACTCGGCCTAAAAAGGTTATGCTTCACACTTTGGTAGTGCAGGTTCTTCCATCTATACTAATACCAGTGTAGGTAAATAATTCCTAGACTTGGATCTCCTCACAGGTCAATGTCAGTGTGGTTTTATAGACCATTTCTCAAATCCATCCCCTGACCTACAGTGAATGTTATTTAACAAAAAAAAAAAAAAATCAAAATAGGACATGCCAGTGAGAAATGTTTTCCCTACCATTTATAAAAAAAAAACTGGCTATCCAACCGGTCAGGCCTTTCCAGTTATTTGTCTAGAAATGCCAATCAGACCACCTTTTTCCACCATCAGTTTTACGGAGTCAAGTAACTTTTTTTAGCAGTGAGCTGAAATTGAACATATCATTCAGTGTAAAAGTAAGCAAAGTGTGAGATAGTATTGACCCTTTGATTTCATCCATATGTTCTTTGGTAACAGTTTCATATTTAGAGAAAAACAAAAATGTAGATATAACTGGAACAGCAAAAGCCACAATGGATACAATGCTTTTTGTTTACAAAGCTGATATTTCATACCATCCCAAATCTCCTTATTGAATAATGACCAGATTAAACAACCATGTGTGTACTGCATATATAACATAAGTAAATAGTGTAAACAGTAATCCACCCTGGTTACACTTCAACATGTGCTTTAACAGTAGATGGACAGGATAACTCTAGTAAATTTAAGTCACTTTTATTCTAAAGTTTTTCAAACTTGTTGTTCAAAAGATATGTCCGGTGTTTTATACCGAAAAATATCTCCATCTCTTCAAATCGTCAATGCTTTATGGGACTACATCCAACGCTTTGTACTGCATTTTCTGATGCAAGACCAAAAATGTAGACTTGTTATGGAAATCCATTCAATGTTGTCTTCTGATCTGTAGCTACTGACTGTATAAAAATTAAACATGTATACTTCACAAATGTTTGCAGAAGCAGTCGGCATACATAGGCACTTATGTTTTTAAAACCTTGAGCCACAGAACTGATTGGAACAATGAACTATTTGCTATGAGTGTTTTGTTTATTTCCGATACTTGAAAATCATCAAAAATGAAATCAAGCTAATACTACTGCATTAGAAAATACTGTGACAAAAAACAAAACAAAAAGGAAACAAATACAGGGACATTATAAGAAAGTCTGCCATTAAAGACACTTCCTCCCAGGTGCTTTATATGCTTTGGCATTTCCTGTATGTATATGGTTAACAGGATTATAAAAGCAGAACTGCTAAATTTGTTTCTTCTAATTTCACCCTTTTGTGGCATCCGTTCGTCTAACCTGGATGGTTGGGGTTTTTTTTGTGGTAAATTGAGGCATCTGCTACAGGACGCCTTTCCATTTTGGTCACACAACTAGATTAGAAACCTACAACATCCCACAAGACAATTGGAAAAGAAGATAAAAACAGATACTATAACTTGTTTTCTTCTCTGCAAACTCAAACTAAGCATGCAAACAACGACTTTAAAATTGTAAATATGCATGGCATTCACTTCAGAGCAAAACGAGGGAGCCTCTCTGAATCAGTCTATTAACTTCATAATCTTATGACTAAATATATGCTTTTATGCATACAAGAAGCAGTATCATACCAAAGATGAGTGCGCTGGTCACTTTGTAAAAGTTTAATCAGTTCATGCATTAAACTTATAGAATTAAATATATAGCAATGATAAACCCTGAGCTGAGTCTGGAAAGACAAAGAGATTCCCTTGGATCTGTGTTTGTAAGCTCTAGTCAGTGCCTTTGCTCCTTTTACACAATTCCAGGTCTCCATGTATTTATGTGTCAGATGTTGTCTGAACACCCCCCCCCCCCCCCCCCCCAAGCTACCTGAGGCAAGTCTCATCTCCACTTGACTCCATTACCCAAAACAAATGGAATACATTTGCGTCTAACTGCCACATGGAGAGAGGGGACCCAGATAAATCTGTTTAATTAAAAAGTGTCATATCTGCACTTAGGGAAGGGGCAACCAGAAGAGCATGAATAATCAATAACCACAATTACAGTTTATGGCACATGTATTGGACTCCAGCAGATATATGCATAGACATGCTGCCCACACATTTCAGAGACATGCTCACAAACAGAATTATGATGGAGCTGAAGGCAAAAAAGGTAAATAAATGAATCAAACTTTTAAACTTTCTTTGGTATGTGTGCCTTTCATAGTTTGTAAATATAAGGTAAGAAAACATATATTGGTAAAATGGAGAAAATGCACAGCAATATATCATTAAAACCCAACCAGAAGCGCAAGGTACCGAACATTCAAATACAGACAGACTGAGTCAGCAGATACCGCTGAGTAAAGAGGCGTTGCATTTCTCTTATTTTAGGAATCATGCTCGTCACTGTTTAAGTGACTAATATATTTTTTATTCACATATTGCATAGGTATAAAAAGAAATACACAGAGCAATCATTTTACCAATGAGCCATAATGGTTTAGAGATTACCGCTACTGATGGAAAAAAAAATCTGCAACCCTCTCAGCTGAATGGAAACATCTGTATAATCATGTTGACGTGACATATGATGGTAGGATGAGAGAAAAAGATTAACACAGACTAATCTCTGTCCAATGAGCATCGGAACCTCAGATTTGTCAGATGTCATAGGGCCTTCCAATCACCAACATCTGCAAGGATATCCATATTCGACTTCTCAAAACAGCTACATTTCTGACACACAGTGAATTTGTTTTCTGACATGGACAAATAATGTAAAGGTCAAATTAATTGAAAAAAAGTGGTGGCCATTATTGGCGTTAACCTGCTAACACTTAACACCAGACTCTTATTGGGCGATAATTGAAATATCGCCATTAATCTATTCCCAAAGTTGGGTTGGGAGCTCGGCCTTTACTGAGTAAGCTATGATGACTTTCATTCAATATTTTAGTGCGGATGTATTTGTGGGGTCGGGAACAAATCAGTGCAGCGGTAAAGCTTGCTTCTGAGAAAATGTATTTTAAGAATTTTCCCAATGGAAACCTTGAGAAGACTAAAGCTGTTTGCACCCTGTGCAATGTGGAATTGGTTTACTGCAGAATTTTTTCCAATCTCAAATATCACCTAAATGCAAAGAATCCCTTAGCCTATGCCAAAGATGCTGGCCGGCCCAAGCACTGATGTAGCGCAGGGGAAGAGTCGTGTGCGTCAAACTACAATGTCTGAGTGTCACCGAGGCAAGCCCGTCAGCACAGCTCTATCAGCCAAGTTAACTAATCTACACGCTAAGTTGATAGCCACAAGCTGCCCACCCATCAGTGTTGTTATGACAATGGGCTTGAGCTTTTCTCCAGGCAGCCACAGATGACCCATCTTACAAACTACCTACGAGGCGAACTATCATGAGAAGAATACATGACCAGCATGCCAGGGCGAAAGATGAGAAGTTGGTGGAGGTGACATGTGGTGGAGGTGATTTTTTCTAAGTTGTAATTTATTCATACACACTGTCACAATGGTATGACAAAAATATGCCATCTTAAAAAAAATGCACTTTCACACTTTATAAAATATGTTTATTTCCAACAAACTTGGAAGATGATTTTTAATGTGTCTTCTGTCCTGCTGGTGAAAGCCCAACTGAGAATGTGTAATATCAAAAAAATCAACAAAGTATTTTTTTTTTTTAAGAAAAAAAGACCTATTGCAAAAATCCATTGTTGCAACTGTCCCAAGTCTTCCCTACTATATAGAAATTCCCATGTGCTTGGAGTGATTTTTTTTTTTTTTCAGTTTAATCAAATATTTTTATAATGTACCTAAAAAAAACTAAAATCTCTACACATTTTTTTGATTGCAAGCTCTGCTGTAGATAAAATATTTTTCTAAAAGAAAAAAAAACATCCACTAATCCACCAACAATGCATGTTTCCTATAGACATTTTTGAGCAAAAAAGAACTGTGTCCTCAAATCCTCAAACTGACCAACTCTATATTCAGTAAAAGCTGAGAATAGTGTATGCATCTTCATAAAAAAAAATCAAGTAAACTTATATTTATTTGATCAGTGCACACACCACAACCAAGAACTATCACAAGTGAAGCAGGCTCAAACTTGTATTTCAAATGTCATTTAAGTATCGAAAATTAACTTTAAAAAATCACAGCGACGTTAGAGTCTAATATAAATGAGAAAGAACATTCACCATGCAGTTCATCAAGAATATGAGACAGGGAGAGAGTGGCTGAAAAGGTACTTCAAAGTTGCTTTTAATCATCATCATCTTGAGAGTCAAACTCGTGTAAAGGCACATTCTAGGTTTGTATTAAGAGTGTTAGGAAGAGTTACTGCTCTTACAGTGAGCGTCATGTTTCTCCTATAAATGACCTTTCATGAAAGTAGGCGAAAATAATTATTTTATTACTTTTCTCATATTTTTTCTTTTTATTCTAGTTCCTAAAGTGGAATCAGATTTAGCTAAGACTTGCAGACGGCAGAAGCTCATTAACAAAGTCGTGATTTGTGCATCTCTATTACTCAAAATCATTTTCCAAAAGTTAGCTATGAGAATCTTCCACACTATTTAGAGTTAAAAAGAAGCACTATACAGGGACTTCAGGCTTCTATTTGATAACAGCTATCCAACTCTGAAAGTGACTTCCCCTACAGGCAAATTCATTGTAGTCATAGGATTGATGAGCCTGGCGGGATGGTAAATGCTAGATCATAAACCCCTCTGCGAGAGGGGAGGAGATGGAGAGCAGTAATGTTTGGCCAAGGCCCTGGCCATGCTCCAAGAGAGTAGATGGCAAAAGTCTCTCCTCCAGAGATTTACACGGCACACTGTGGGGGTTTCAAAAAGAAGCTGACCTGTTCGCTCCACTGCTAATTCCCTTCTTCGTTTGACCCCTCTACTAAAACTGTGATATAGATTTACATTTATAGCAGTTCTACAGACTTAATGCATTGAACTGATAAAAAGAAAAAAATGCTTTGAAAGATGCTTACCCACAGCTGGTTTCCAATAGGCTGTCTCCAACCTGAAGAGAGGCCATACCAAAATCTGCTATCCTGATGTTGTTCTTTTCATCTAACAAGAGGTTCTCAGGCTTTAGATCCCTGTGGCTGAAAGACAGTAAAGAAGGAACACAAATTAGTTAATAAACATGAAAAAGGCGAGACACTGTCATCTGATAAATGAATGCGTGGAGAAACAAAAACTCTGCTGAAAGGTCCATCAAACGCCAAAAACATGCGTGTGCCTTGGAGAAACAAAGCATCTTAACCTGCCCTATCCTCTGTGCAATATCTCTCTTTGATCTGTCATGTTAAAGCTATGGAGTTCCCACCTTGGTGTTGGAATAGTACAAGGTGTGACAGCCCTCCTGCTGTGCTCTTTCCCCCTTCTTCTTCCCTCGCTGCTCTTCCCTCTCATCTCCCAGACAGCCACCAGCAAGCGCATGGAGAAAATGGTGATTCAAGAGAAGCCAGCCTCAGCGGTGGTGTTCATTAACCGTCATTAATTACCGCTAAACGCAGCAGGGGGGATAATATCCAGCGGACATCGACTTCCGACTTGAAAACGGACCACTGAGAGGTATAACCTTCTCATGTCGTGCATGCTGTTACCAAGTCGGAGGTTAAAGTCTCAATTTCGATGAGTAACATTCCAACGAGGTGCATGGATACCATTTTATTGTGTATTTAGCATCTCTCTCTGGGACTGGGGTTGTGTTACATCATACTCTACCACTCTGGAGATGTTTACAAAGGCTGAGAACTACTTCACAACAAATAAGTGTGTGCAAACATTATTATTAATCCATCTGTTTTGTCAGCACTACCTGCAAAGCTGCACACAAATGTTTAATTACTGTTTCAGTTAAGGGTTTGGCAGGAAAGGTAACAGGCAAAATACACCAATCTCACAGTGAAACATTATTTGGCAGCAACCTCATGCTCTGGGGATATGCTTTTTTGCAGCAGGTGCCGGAATGTGACACATTTTCGTTAAATAAAGTTAAACACTCAGAGGTACAACTCCAATCTTAAAATGGTAAATGTTGTAAATTTACTAAGTGTTCCAGGTTGAAGACCCCTGCAGTAGACCTATATTCACCCAATTACAAACACACACACTGAAAGAAAGAAAAATATCAAAATTGAGAGAAGTCATTTTTTCTTAAAGTGCATTTTTTTTTTTTTGAATCGAGGAAATAAGTGAGACACTTTGCCAATGGAAAATGACAATTTACATTTAAAATAAGGAAAACCTATTGCATTGTCTTCAAGTGCATGGTATCTAATTATCTTATTTCAACAGTAAAAAAAACTCTTAAACTTGAGTAGGTTAATCATCTTATTTAACTACTCAAATTAAAGGTAAATACACTTCATTTAAGAAATGTTGACTTATTTCTAGATTGTTTTTTGCAGTGCACATGTCACACCATCCTTGTAGGGACTTTCTATTGACTTCCATTCATTCCACTCTCATTTCTACGGCCTAACCCTTACCAAAACATACATAACCCTAAACCTAAGCTAAACTCAATTTCATCCTTAGTCCGAACGTAAAGAATAGAACCTTTCCTCATCGGGACCCCTCTTTGGTCCCCACAAGTACCCATAAGTCGCTTAAATGTAGCATATTCCTGGGAAAATGTCCCAACCAGGTAATAAAAACATGCAGTACAAAAACAAACACATACTATAAAAGATTACATGACGGCCAGTATTCCTGCTAAGCCACAGTAAAAAAACACTAATGCATTAAAATTGTCTGTTCAAAATCCAGAAAATAAATCAAGCAAAACTTGACACAGTTTGTAAAGATTTAACAAATAACCATCTATATGAGCAAAGTGGATATAAATATCTTAAAAGGCTTGCAGCAATATTGCAACACAAGGAAAGACAGTACAGAATATTGACTCAGGAGTGTAGAATACATGCTTGTGACCCTTTGCAGGTCACAATTCATTTCTTGACAATTCATAGTTGAGCATTTGTGTTGGTATATTCTAGAATATTTATACCATTCACTGCTGTTTCTTGTCCTGGTGTGACAAAATGTGGAAAAGGTAGTTGACTACATGTGCAGAGGACAGTAAAGAACATGTTTGAAATGCTTTTAAGCATTTAATGGAATACTTAAATCAGTACATGCTTGCAGGGATATTGAGTGCTGGGATGTGCCTCAGTAAACTGTATCTGACTCAAAATTTCAGATGAAGATAAAGCTATGCAAATGATGATGAATTGTACAGTTACAACAGTTGTGACAGTTAATTGGTTGCTATGTTGCTTTTAGGCTATGAAAAATAAGCAGGATTTTTATTGAACCACTTAAGAACCAAATCTAGCACCAAGGGAACCAATTGGTTAGTGAATGATTCTCACCCTTAAAAATTCCAAATTCCAAAGCATTCCAAAGTTCAAATGAAAAAGCTTGCTTTCATTAGTCTACTATCTTTAAATATGAAATATACAAGCATATTCGCCTACAAAGCCTTTGATGCATTTCACCCTAACATGAGAATAGATTTTCTTAGAGATTTCATCAAATTATTTTTTATATTAGGGAGTGGCTGGACAATGGATCAGTGCAGAACAGGTCTAGTGTCTGCTCTACCCTTATAGAAGTATTTTGGAGTCTTACAGGATCTTTGATTTTTGGTTTTCTAAATTATCCAATATCTTCTTTTTCTTTAACTCAATTGTCAATTGAAACTCACAAACTAAACTTAACAAATCATACATTATCAAGCCCAATGTTGTGTCACATGTAGATGCATGCGTTCAAACTTAATTAATGTTAAACTTGCTCAACTTCTTTTAATATGTTCCCAAATGGGGTTAAAAAGCCACAGAGCTGTCTAAATGTCATAAGCTATACTTTCATCTTGTCTTAAAGTTAACGTTAGTAAGGGGGATGGCACTGCAGCTGAATATATCTGCCTTTGAAGAATGCTTCATTAGAAAGGACATTTAACCTCAGATGACATCAATTGTTGTACAACTCATTTCCTGCCCTAAGGGAGTAGCTGTCAGCAGGTTTGTTATCATGCTGGCAGTTTCTGTGATCCAAGCTATAATTGAAATAAGACAAAGATAGCATCTAAAACAGTTGTCCCCAGGCTACAACCCCTTTTAGTTCACACTGCAATCATTTGAAGGTGGTGTCAGTCAGAGCTTTAGCTAATGGTGTTAAAGCTTTTGGTTAAGTAGTAAACATTCAATGTTAGAGCCAGTTGAATGTGGCTAATCGGCACATGAGATATCTTAAACCTAGGTAGATCTACATAAGTTCTTTCATTTACAAATGGTCTTTGTCTAGCAGATTACATGATTGAAAAGGGGATATGACACCAGGAAATATAACGAAAAAATAAAAACAATCTGTAAACACTTTAAGGTAACATCTTTTTACACCTTAAGTGGTATAAATATAAAAGTGCATCATTTATTTCAATAATGCACATTGAAAGTGAGCAGATATGTCAGCTAGGAACTTATTGGATTTCTGGTCACTTTAAAAATCATCATCAACGGCAGCCTCTGGTCCAGTCGCTTCCTTGGGGTTTTCTGCTACTATTTGCGGCAGCTGGAGGGCGTTTTTCCTTTACTTAAAACTGCAGGCACGATAATAAACAACAAAAAAATCGAACATATTTAACTGTCAGGTTTTGACATTTTAAGTTAATTTAGGCATTAATGAACTGTTTCAAATGAGTGATCATAGCAATCTGCATCAGCATTGCTGTGTCTGTCTTCCTGCCAGCTCGCAGATCAGCTTCTCTGATTGGTTGATGTCGCGCGTCGAGCCGCAAATTTTCCCCAACTCCAACTGGTGCTGCTGCTTTAGCAGCACATCCTGCACATCAGATGCTCAGAAGCTCCTGATGTGCTGCTTCAGCTGCTCAGACACGCTGTTCCTGCTACTCAGACTCAAGAAACCCTTTGAGACCCATAGCCTTATGACGTTTTCAGTCCACGGCGGTGGGCCTCATCAGAGACGACAACCACCAAGACTCCATAGAGGACCCCCAGGGGATAAGAACCAGGGTACCACCCTCCACTGCTCATCAACAGCTCAGCTGTAGACGTGGTCAGCAGTACCAAATTCCTAGGGGTGCACATTACAGACAACCTCACCTGGACGGTAAATACGAGCTGACTGATCAAAAGGGCACAAAAGCGTATTTACATCCTGTGGAGGATGAGGAGAGCCCACCTGCCCCCACCCCTCCTCATGATCTTCTAAAGAAGAACCATAGAGAGCGTTCTGGCCAGCTGTCTAACTGTGTGGTGTGGAGGCTGCACCGCCTCAGACTGGAAGAAAGTGGGAAGAGTGGTGAGAATAGGAGAGAGAATTATCGGGGCTCCTCTTCCCTCCATAAAAGACATTTCAACCCAGCGCTGCGTGTCCCAAGCCCGTAACATCATCAGTGACCCCTCAGTTTTAGTATACTCCGTGTTTACAAAATGACAATAAAAGTTGTCTAAGTCTAATAATGATTGAAAGGGCCACGCTATTTTCTAGTGTTGGTCTTCTGTATTGTCTTAAGGTCAAACTTAAGGCAGGCATCTGTCAGAACATCTTTAAGGGCTATATGCTTCTGCTTCTGACAAAGCATTTAGATAGGTTGACATTGTTTTGATGTTTGTCAGGGTAGGAATATGTGGATTATATTTTCCTGTAGCACTTGTTAACCATAAAAAATGCCAGAAAGACCAATACCTGCTTTAATGATCATTGTATTACTGAACCTGACCCAAACCCCAAAGATAATTTATGGATATTGTAAATAGGAAGATGAAAGATACCAGACCCAACAATTCAGATAAGTCACAGACCACAAATAAAGCCACCTGGGCTGTCTTAGAACCACAAACGGATCACTTTCATGACACGCTGTAGTGATGCACTAACCTAAGGAAATAGAGATCAGTCCAGGTATTCATTGCATATGCTAACTAGTACATTGATATGTTTTCCAGTATAAAGCCACATCACCTTGTAATTCAGATCCTGGTTGCAGCAGAAAGGACATCCAATGTCTCTGTGCAACACATAATGACTTGCTGTGGCAATCCCTAAAGGGCGTGACCAATCGGGCTCA